ACCCAAGAGAAGTGACTCCATACTGTAAAGGCCAAGCCAGCCTCAGAGTAAAGGCTGCTGTATTTCTACCCAACTAAGCTTTAGACCTCTGAAGGATCAGCTGCTGTACAAGCAGTGGAGTGGCCAGGGTCAAGCAGGCACATGATGTCCACGCAGGCATCAATATCTTGAAAGAAAGACAACACAATACTAACACTCCAGTTAACATCCCTAATGTCTGACATTTGATTAAAATTACTAGGCATGTGAAAAAGCTGCAAACCAGTTGGTAGGAAGTGACCCAGAAATGAGAAAGGTAATGGAATTAGCAAATATTCTAAGCAGTGATTTTTACATATTACAAATCACAAATATTTTCAGAGATGTAAAGGAAAATATAAACAATAGCAAGAAAAATATGGGTAACTAAAACAAATAAACAAATGGAATTTTATAAAGCCAAAGAATATGGTATCTGAAAAAATTTCACTAGATTGGTTTAACATAAGAGTGGATTTTATAAGATTAATGAACATGAAGGCATGGCAATAAAAATTTAAGCACAGAGACATAAGACCAAAATCACCAGAGCCTCAATGACCTGTGGTACAAGCAGTCTCAGTATAATTAGAATCCAAAAATGAGACAAGAGAAAGATGGCTAAAGAAAAAAAAAAATCTTTAAAGAAATGTGATCAAATGTTTTCTGAATTTGATGAAAACTCTAAACCCACATACAATAAAATCATCATATTCTAAGCATGATAAAGCAGACCACAAGAAGATGCATTATAATCAAATTCCAGAAAACCAGTGTGAGGGAAAAGTCCCAGAGGAAAATACCCATTAAACATCAGGCAAAAGATAAGAATGTTTTGTTAGAAATAGTGTAAACCAGAAGGTAATGAAGTTTTTTTAAATTGCTGGGGGGTCGGGGGGGTGATAAAAAACAAACAAACAAACAAACCTCAAAACCAGCAGCTATTAATCTAAAATACTCCAGTCAGCAAAAATGTCTTTCAGAAATGAAAGGAAAAGAAAGTATTTGTGACCCAAATAAATGCTGTTACACTAGAAGATTCGGTGTTTTTATTTTTGTTTAAATGCTTAAGGTATTATCTGTCCAGTCATGTTTGCGCAGTCTGTTACTCTCTTTCTAGAATTTTTTATAAAAATTTATCGATTCTGTCATTTGTGAAGACACTTGTGGTTCTTGTCAGTAGACTAGGCTCAAATATGATTGCCTACACTTTGTGGTTATTATATTACAATTTTGAGAAAATTGTTTTTATTTGTCCTGGCACTTGGTTTCTAGGTCTTACTGAACTCATTTGATTTGTTATAGGATATCGGGATGTTTCTCTATATGACTTTGAAGTACCCTTTAACATTTATGCTTGGGCAATAGACAATTCGAATAATTCTCCCCAACTTAGAGTTTTTCAGATATAAAATATATAAATGAATATGTTTTTTTTTTTTTTTTTGAATGCTTATCCAGAAAGGTAGAGTGGTTGTTTGGAATCACAAACCCCACCAGCATCTGTGCTGAAAATATCTGTGATGTTTTGTTCAGTGTGCACAGAGCTTAGATACGCATCAGAGAGGAAAGTTGTTGGACTGATGCAATTAAATGTCAAGCATCCGCTGCACTAGATGATATATTTAAGGATTCAGTCCTTGACAGGTTGACTCAGGAGTTGTCATTTGTTCTAACCCTCACTAGTTCACAAGGAGACAGCTAAACCTGCCATCACGGGATTTCTTCTTACTACAGAGGAAGTTTGACGTTTGAAACATTCATAATTGATGGCAGAATTACAGTGGTATCGTAGGTGGGCCGTTGCGTTTTGGATTTGTTTCACTGCTTGCTGAAGTACTCACCCCTGGAAGTACTTTGTTTAAAAACAAACAGTTTTAAATATTTTATGTTAAACTTAGAGCTTACTCATGAGATCAAAAAATAAAGGTAAAATTCTCTCCTTACCTAAACTTCTGAATTTAGCAAGATTTTATTTTAGTTAGGTCTAACAGTATAGGGACTTGATATTTCTCAGGAACATTAGCTGAGTGATACAGTTTTATTTAGATAAATATACTGAGCAATAGAACGCTTTCGAGCTAAAGATAATATAAGGTAAACAAAAAGGCAAAAGCATGGCAGGAATCTTAGAGTGGCAGCATTCTTCAAAAAGAAAATGACAAAATCTGGAGGTCAGGGCTGCTATAGTGATGTGGGGAAATAAAAACAATATATAAAGGAAGCGAGGGATGAAGACTGAGGACATGACTGAAGTACCTGTAGGAACTGCCGAGGTTAGAAGATGTGGATGTAAGCTTGGTGAGGTGCCAGTCTTAGGGGAGCATTCCAAGAAAAGAAACCCAAGGAGAAAAGGGCCTTTTATTTTCTGTTTAAATTAAATTAGGGCCCATCTATTATCAGGGAAGTAAAAGGTCACCCTTCCCCTGAAAAAGAACAACAACAGCAAACTACAGCAACCCAGAGTTTGTGCATTCCATGCCTTTCTCTTTGTTTGAGTCCAAAGTAACCCTCTCATAGTTTGAAATGAAGATTAAATCATTTTACTTTGGTGTAAGTATACTTAAATGGCACATCAATGAATATACTTAAATAAATCAATTTTTATATCTAGTGTTAGGACTTTAAAACTATTATGTACCTACAAAATGTCAGGCACTCTGCTAATGATGACAGATACAGAAATGCTTTCCTTGGTCGCCTGAGAGATGTTTGGATCTAGCAGCTACAATATTCTCAGACATGGAGCTGGTGGTATAATACAGGGCAGGGGGGGGGGGGCTCCTCAGGATTAAGGGGGACACCAGTTACCACTAAGCATCGGAGGGATATCAGGGTAGAGTGTCAAGGATGATCACCTGGAGTGAACCTTGGGGCAGATTTGGAGTGACCAGTCAGACAGCAGAAAATGTCCTTACTATCTAACAAAGAGGGGGTATGCAAATTGACCATCACATCATCACAAAGCTGGTGGTGCCCACAGCAGCAACAGGGTTTCCATAACAAGATGGCTATGCCCACAGCAGAGGTGGGGTTTCTGTAATACAAGATGGCTGCATCCACAGCAGAGCCCGGGTTCCTGTAACGAGCCTTAAGGAACAATCACCTGGGACCTGAGGCTGTGGGACACTGGCCTGGGCAGGGGACCTGAGCCTGTATCCCCCCTCCCCACCTAGTGGGGTTTTTGTCAGGGGACCACAGGCTGTGCCCCTCCCTCCAGCCACCAGGCCAGGGTCCTCAGGCCATGCCCGCCCGCCCAGCAGGGCTTGATGGGGGACCTCAGGCTGCTTCCCCCACCTTGCAGGCTTGACTGGGGACCTCAGACCATGACCCCTGCTCTGGTGCTGGGCCAGGGAAACTCAGGCCGCACCCCCTGCCCCGGCGCTGGGCTGGGGGACCTGAAGGTGTGCTGGGGGACTGATGCTATGTCCCCTGCCTGGCAGGACTTGATGGGGGACTTGAAGCTGTGCCTCCCACCCTGTGGGGCTTGACAGGGGACCTGAGGCTGTGCCCGACGCCAGGAGGGGCTTGATAAAGGTGGGGCCAGCCAGATTTGGATCTCACCCAATGGGGCTGGGGCTGACTGGGTCTGGGTCTTGCAAGATTTTGAGGTGCTACAGGTGGACAGAGACTTGACTCTGAGTCCTAAGGCATGCCCCAGACTCTGAGAGGAGGGAGATTTTCATATACATTTTACTAATTTTCTTTCATCTCTGGCACTTCTATTCAATATCAAAACATTTCCCCTAATTAACCCCCTTTTAATGTGCATGAATTTCATGCACTGGGCCACTAGTTTATTATAAAGATAAGGCAGTGTGATTGTTTAGTGTATCCTGAGTGTAGGGCACATTCCAGTGAAGGTGTCCAAAAATTGGTATCACTTAGTATTACGGTTCATTATTTAGTTCTTCTTATACATTTATCCAGCGCTAAGGCAGGTACTATTCCCTTCATTGGGCCTGTGAGGAACCTGAGGCCCAAAGAAGGCTGCAAACTTCTCCTGGTCACAAAGGAAGTTAGTGCAGAGCTAAAATTTGAGTTCTAAAAGTGATTGGATTCTCCATTGAGCTGTTTTAAGTTTTTAAATAAAGATATAGATAGATATAGATATAGATATATAGATATAGATATATAGATAGATATAGATATAGATATAGATATAGATAGATTTCAAAGAGGGAGAAAGATAGAAACATCAATGATGACAGAGAATCATAGATTGGTTGCCTCCTGCACGCCCCCTACTGGGGATCAAGCCCACAACACCGGTATGTGCCCTGACTGGGAATTAAACTCTGACCTCCTGGTTCATAAATCAGTACTCAACCACTGAACCACACCAGCCTGACTGTTTTTAAACTTTTGCGTTTTGATTACATATAGATCTGGTTTCTAAGACAAAATTATAGCCTGGAGATAGGGGTTTGGGAGTTAACTAGTTTACACACAGGGATTGAAACCGCTATCCCAGGAGAGGCCTTGGAGTCCACGTGAGTTCACCGAGGTTATAGCTTCATTCTCATAAGGTGTAGGTGGGCTTGGGGTAAAGAAACTGACCAGAAAGATAGGAACAGCCAGAAAGAATTTTGCTACAAAGCAAAATTAGGTGGAATTTTCCTTCTCTTTCTTCCTCTTTTTTTTAAAGAAATGAAATAAAAAACAGTTCTAAAATCTTGGAAAATAGAGCCACATATATCCAATCAAAGTCGCTGGTGATGCTTACAGAACAGTTTCAGTTCATTTACTCAGAAAGAGAATAACAGGGGCTGGGGAATGGAAGGAAGTGAGACCACCAATCCAGGGAACTGCCCCCCCCCCCTCTGTGCAGGAAAAAGAGGCATTTGGGGTGAAAGATGGAGGGTTTTTCTCCTCAGGGGTGAGACAGATCACCTGTGTATGAATTTAAGGATCATCTGTCTAGAAGTCAGAATTTTTTTTCAGCAAAACTATAATGTGGCAATGCTCTTTAAACTTCACAGAACGTTGTACATCCACGGGCACACCAAGTTGGATTTCACAGTCTGGCATGCTGCGATTGAGAAAGCAGCAGGTACAGATGGAAATGCTTTGCAGGATCAGCAGCTCAGCCAGAACGATGTTCCCATCATCGTGAACAGCTGTATCGCATTTGTTACGCAGTATGGTACGTATCGCAGAGTTTTTATTCAACCCCCAAGCTCATGGTATCACTCTTACAGTTTTTAAATGGTGCCCATTGGACTGGATGAGGGCCTTTTATATCTGTTAAGTATATCAGTGAAACTATGAATGCAGTCACTGTTCAGTTACATGCCGTTCCTTTGCCCAGTAAAACTCATTTAAATGGTATAATGTACTTTAACTATTTTCTGCTTCCTTTACATGCATTAACATTTAAATAATATATGGAAAGAATATATGTTGTGAAATGTATATTAAAAATAGGTTAAAGACTATTTTTCAGATTTTGCAAGCCCACAGTGAAATCTAAGGGAATGCAGTGTGCTGCCTCAGCATGGTTTTAGAAGTAGCTGATGGGACAGCATGGGAAAGAATTTTTTTTAGCATGAATACATACAAGTGTATATGTATTTATTTTAGTTACCGTACTGTCGGTCACATGGATATTGATTGTAACAGTTCTGACTTAATTACAACATTTTCTTTGAATAGTGTACAGGTAATAAAAACAGACAAACAGCTCGATACCTACATGGTCCAGTTTTATTTTGATGTGCTGCAGTAGTGTTTTAGATATGCCTGAGGAGTACATATGCCTTTATTCTTCATGTTCAATTTCAAATTGCTATGTATTCTTCACATTCCTTCTTTCTGTTACAGATTTCCTTAATACTCTAGAAGATAAAAAAAGTTTTAAGCATTATATTAAAAATGTTTCTACTTTTAATGTGCAGATAAATGCCATTGCGTTACATTATAAAGATAGAAAAGGTTAAAATGATTTGGTATTTTGGAAGGTGTAGTAACTTATTTTGTCCTCTTAAAACTAGAAATGCATTTGGGAGTTTTTTATTTGAAAGAGAGTATCTTGGGGAGAGAGCTGCAGTGAAACACTGTGTTACTGGTTCCTTACTTCCCTGTTGGGTGTCTGTTGTGTGCCAGCCGCTGACTTTGGTCCTGGAAATGCAACATAGGCGGATGAAGTGAAAGACAAATCCATGAATCATGTGTTTTTTACATGAGAACTGACAATAAATTATTTGATATGCACCAAAATACCAGAAATAAAAAGAAAAGAATTTCTGAAAATTTATAATGTGTAGTGTATATTAATCTGCTTTCTTCTAAGAAGACCACTATCATAATGTGTTTTTAGTTATTTCATATGGAATCCAAGAAGAGTTATCATTAATATTCAGATTTGTTGTGTTTAAATTATATGTCTACTGTGACTATGTATTTAATCACATTACATGGGCATTACTATAAGGTTTCTTCCCATGATGATAACATGTGTATGTATCTTATCAGTCAAAGTCATCTGTTTAGTTGGAAATGGGGGAGAAAGGCGGTCATCATCTTCATTTTATTCGTTACTCGGTATTAGTGCACTTGCATTTTGCAGGTATGAATGAATTGCTCACATTATGCTTTGGCATGAGCATAACCTCACTGGGAATTTTTACATCGTGTTAGTTTCATAATGGCATAGAGTTTCTCGTAAGCTGACAAACGATTAAAATAACTCTAACTCGACTACCTCCAGTGTGTACAATTTCATGTTTCTCTAGGGAAATCAGAAGCTACTTTGTGATGTTTGTTTGAGTTTAAAATAATTAAGCCCTAGATTGTTTTCAACTAAATTTCATACATTATGTCTACTTTGTGACTCTAACACAAGGTACATTAACTTGCATATTAAAGTACTAGAGCCAGTGAAAAACTCTTTATTTTTTTTTAAATGGTTTTAATGAGCAGAACATGGGGGAAAACCCAATCTTATTAGAAAATGTCTAGTGATTTCAGGATGTAGGTGGTCAGCCCAGAGCCTTTTAAGTCACACTTATTTTGAACTTTCTGACTTTTGGGTTAAAATTGAAAGGCCAGGGTTGGTTTTTTTTTTTTTTTTTTTTTTTTTGTTTGTTTGTTTGTTTGTTTTTGTGTGTGTGTGTGTGTGTGTGTGTGTGTGTGTGTGTGTTCATTGTGTCAAGATTTGAACTTGACAGAGTTCACAGTATAACTTTTAGAATTTTAATTTTTTAAATTAGTTGCAATTCTTAGTTCTTGGGGGGAATTAATTTATGCAATTCACATTCAGTTAAGTTATTATTTGATTATCAGCTATTAGAAATTCACTTAACTAGGTACACCTTATCTCAGAAACTTAGTCATTATTGTTTTTTGTAGAATTTGCTTATTCTTGCATTAAGGGATCACTCATTGAATACCTGCTGAGTTCTTCTAGGCTCTAAGTAACTACTATCTACAGAGAATGACCAGGACCCTGCCTCCTAGGATGTTACAGATTTGTGGATCAAAGACAAACAAGTGGGCAGATATATTTCAAGTGTACAAACCCTTTTGGCAGAGAGGCTCTGGGGTTGGTACAGGAGTAAATAACATCCAGAGTAGGGGTGGTCATGGAGGGCTACATGGGTGAGGAGATGCCTACCCTAAGTCTGAAGGGAAAATAGAAAAATGTTAGAAGGAAGAGGAGGAAACAGGGTGTGCCCATGTGTGGAGTCAGGAGGGGCACTGTCTGTTCAGGGAACTTTGTGTAGCTAACTGTGCCCAGCACTTGGTGTGAGAAGAGGGGAAAGATAAGAGGCAGAAGGGTAAGGAAAATTCACATAGGGACTTATATATTGTAATTAAATCCTCACACTTGCCTCGTAGACCTTAAGAGGGCATTATGCAGATTTTTAGTCTTTTGATGACACTGGCATTGTCAAGACAGACTGGGGCTGCACAAGAATACGGGCAGGGAGTTGGAAAAACCTAGTTAGGAACTGAGTGCACAGAATAGCAGCCTGGAGGATGGGAAAAAAAGGGGTCGTAATGAAAAAAATCTATGTGGCATAGTTCATTTGTTTTTGGTTTTTTAAATCTGGAATGTGAGAAAGAAAGGTTCTGTGTTGGGAAGGACTAGGGAGAAGGCTATACCATATATCAAGATAGAGGAACAAATAAAGAACAGGTAGAGGTTGTGAGGTGAGGTCCTGAACAAGGCAGGGAAATTAATTTATTTTGATTCGTCCATATGTGTAATATGGTGTGTGTGTGTGTGTGTGTGTGTGTGTGTGTGTGTGTGTGTTGCAAATATATGGTAGATGTTTTTTAAATATATTTGTGTTTGTTTGGAATCTTAGAAATTAAAACTGGGTGAAAAAGTATATGTAAGCAGTTAAAGTAATGCGCTAGGTGGGTTTAGCTAGATAATTTTGTGGGGAGTGGGGAATGAAGAGCATTGAGTTTGGATTCCAGGAATCACCAGTAAATACTAGAGCAGAAATAAATGGAAAGGTGGAAGAGTATCCCAAAAGGAAGAGCTGGGGAATATGGTACAATTATGCCATGAAGGCCATGAGATTAACTTAAGTTTAATGCGATTCATTTGGAGTGTCAAACAGGGCAGGGGATTCTCACTAGATAAAGACCAAATAGCATCTAGAAAACAGGTTGTCATTGATAGTCTTGATGAAGCTTGTCCCGACAGAGTGGGAATTGGGCCTTTGATGAATCAATGACTTTGTAAAAAAAAAAAAAAGAGACCATACTCTTTATCTAGAAGAAGGTGAAGGTGGGAACAGGCAGGCAGACATTAATATGCAAATATGAGGGCAGAGGATTGAGGAAATTTATACTAGGGAGCCGCACTTTTGTCAGTGAAATTGGAGGCAAGTTTGTATCCCAGGGACTAAGCGAAGATAGAGCACTGGCTATAAAAGAGCCATTTTAAAAGATACTATGAACAGCTGGGGAAAGGGCTGACCAGAGTCTTATTAAAGGCCAGGGATGGAATATGTCATAGGTTTACCCTGTAACTACTAAAATCAGGGGGACAAACCTTCCCCCTTCAGACTTGTTTATATCAACTCAGGTAACGATTTTTGTGCTCATCATCCCAGCACAAAAATGTGTTCAAAATTTTAAGGTGTCAAAGTGGATTTTGATTTTAGACATTTTTCATATAATCTTTTTTTCCTTTTTAACAAAGGTTTAGGGTACAAATACATCTATCAAAACAATGGCGATCCTTTGCAAGTAAGTGAACTCCTGGAGAGTTTCAAAAAAGATGCAAGAAGCATTAAATTGAGGGCTGGAAAGCATCAGCTGGAGGATGTGACGGGCGTGCTGAAAAGGTTTCTGTCTGACATTGACGATGCTCTTCTCACTAAGGAGCTCTATCCATATTGGATCTCTGCTTTAGGTAATACACATAATGTCTGTAATCATAAAGGCTTGTCTTTTAATTGGCTAGCTAGGTTTTTAAACTCTTTTTTGATGATGATCTGAAATTTTAATTGAAGGCAAAAATGCACATATGTCTCAGAAGAAAAGTTGTGTAAATATCAGCAGTTGTTTATATATACCTAAAAAGAAATTTATAGTAATAATTGCTAAATAAAGTTTTATATACTTAGTTTTGTGTGGCTTTCTTAGGTCTTGCTCTGCTTTAAGTTGGGAAGTGTTATAAGCAACTTCATGAGTGCTATTCACTTCTCATTAAGGTTAAGTGAAAGTTTCAATACAAGGTTGGTTTTCTAAGATTTTCCTATATGGTTCTTTTGGCTTTTCTCTGTCATTTAGTCTTCCTCTTTGGAGTACATAACGACAATGTTTTTTACTCCGTTATTTTTCCTAGATTCTGTTTAATGAAGTTAAAAGGCTTTGTTCCAGTGTAAGAGAACCTATGTAAGAGATTACTCTAGAAAAGTAGTTCATTAAATGACTAATTTGGCCAAAAAGATTTCAATAAATCTGTATTTATATCTAGTAATTCAAAACAACTCCTTTTATAAGAACATTATAGCAATACTTAAAATATAGTGTCTTTAATCCCATCTTTCTACTACAGCTATTTTTACACGCATATTCCATATATTTACAATGTTTTCAAAAATGATTTTCAATCTTTTTTTCAATTTTTAAAATTATCATTGAATTATACCATAATTTACTAATATATTTCTTGTACATTAATTTGTTTTAAAAATTGATAATATATTCCTTTATTAAGGAACGGGTATTTTTTCTTTGAAAATATTTGTTTATTCTAAAACATAAATGTGATATTTTAAGGGATTAATTTTGAAATAATCTTACAAAACATTCACAATTTGAAAAATTATCCTAAGAATGAACCTTACTAGTGCCAGCAGGAAGAGTAGTATTATTAAAATAAAGCTTTCCAAATTTTACATAACTCAGAAGTCTTATTTGCTTCCTAGTATTTCTCAAATCAATAGATTTTTAACTGGAATCACAAGAAGAGTTGATTGTATAATTCTCTGGGATATAAAATATGAAATTAGATGATACCTCTCTCTAAGCCCTGTTAACCTGCCATCCTCAGTTTTGTTTTGAAAAAAGTTTATTCTAATTTATAACCATGAAATTATTTATAGTATCTGTCTTATAAATACTTACAGTGTGTCTTTATTATAAAATTAGTGATAAAAAAAAATCTGTGGCAAATATGTTTTTGCTGACGTTTCAGATTCCCTGACAAAGATGTCTTTGATGTCAGTCTGTCAGGAGGAGGGAGGTGGGAAATGACAGCGTGTGTCAGAGGAGAAAGTATTCACCTTTCCCTTGGATGTGAATTATTTGAGAATTGACTTGGAGAAGGCTTTGATTATGGAGTCAGGTAGCCTTAATCCAATATAGCTCTCACCCTGACCTCTCCGAAGGGCCCTGTGCGGGATCTGACCAGGCTCAGCCTGACCCTAGGAGAGCTCTCTTGGGTCCAGTGCAGCCAAGGCCACAAATGCCTAAAGTGACGCCATGCCTGTTTATACTATCTACTATCTATTCTTCTAAGAACGCTATTACATCGTCTGATGTCTGTGGCTAGTTGGGCAGTTCATTATAACTGCTCTGTGACCCGAATCTATCTGAAGCTTGCTTTCTACTTTTTAAGCTTTATTTTGAAAATGCCGTTTATTTTCTTTTTATAAGACTTATGAAAATTTGCTATACTTTTCTGACTTCTTGTTATAAGTGTGTTAAATATCAATTACTTTATACTGAATGTTGCAGTTACTCCTGCAGTTAAAAACTGGATGGCATGAGGATAAATGTTTGATTACATTAGGGATGATAGTTAACTCTTAATCTAGTATAATCTCTGAATGTAATTCGGGCCTTTGCCCCTCTTGCTCTTAGAGAGTCTTTCACCTACCAGCGCAGTAAGACAGTGTTTGCTGTCATAGATCTCCGCAGGCTAACTGGTACAAAGGAGCTCTCAGGTGCAGTTTTGAATAGGAGTGCATTTCAAAAACATATCACGGAGTTTCTTACCTCCCTAAGGATCCTAATGCCCTTTACAGATGACCATGTGCTTTTAAAGATTCATTAATGTGCTGCTGGCTTTCTGTGAATAGAATAAGCTGGGCTAAAGGGAAAATGAGAAAGTCTTGTTTCTAAAGGTAGTTGGGAATTGAGAGGGAGTATGTAAGTGAAACCCCCTCGAGTTACGAAGTCAGCATAAGTTATTTATTTGAAGAAAGGTCTTTTATTTTCCCTGTGAGCTAGTATGTTAGACCAAACCGCCACTACATACCTTCTTGAGATGAGAACTTTGGGGGTTCCTGTGTCTAATTTTTTCCAAGTATTTGACTTCCTGGGGTTGGGAGAACGAGAGAAATTCATTCCTGTCCTCTTTTCCATGGTTAACCAAGTCTGTCTATGCTTTAGGCACAGGTCCATCCTGCTCTAAGTCAATATCATAGTTACCTATTTTTCTATTGTCTGCTTTCCTTTTCCAACAAATTGAAGGTACTGGGGCTGCTGGGTACTTCATGGTTCCTAGTCCTCAGATGACTTTAGTTTGGGGGAGATTTTTATGATTTCACAGGAGAAAAGCAGATCAGAAATGCCATTTTAACATAGAAGTAGTAAAATCTTTCCATAGCCAGAGTTAAACTATTTTTAAAAAAAATACATATTTTTATTGATATCAGAGAGGAAGGAAGAGAGAGAATCATTGACTGGCTGCCTCCTACTTGCCTTCTACTTGCTTCCTACTAGGGATTGAGCCTACAATCTAGGCAAGTGCCATAACAGGGATTCGAACCATGACCTCCTGGTCCATGGGTTAATACTCAACCACTGAACAACACTGGCCCGTCACAGAGCTATAATATGTTTTGCTTATCTCTTCAAATTTCACTCCACTCTGAGTTATTGACTATATTTCTATTAGGTGAAGTTCAATAGTTCAAACAATAGAAGATAAAATGCAACCCTGGGTTTTGAAAGTACTATATTTTTAATTAACAAAGTATAAGAAGTATAGCATATAGTCATGGAATGTTTATGCGTAAGTCCCTTTCCAGAGTTATAGAAGTTTGCATATTTTTATTGAAATGTGCTTATATCACTTAGTGAAATACAATTGTAATAATTGTTTTATAATACTGTTAAAAGGCGAATTTGTAACACAGATTAATATTGTAGGCCTAAAGATTTTTTTTTTAACCTCTAGATACCCAAGATGACAAGGAAAGAATTAAAAAATATGGAGCATTTATAAGTACTCTTTCAGGGGTCAACCGAGCAACATTGGCAGCTATAATTGAACACCTTTACAGGTGGGTGGACGCATGAATTTTCTAATTTATTTTAAACATGGCACTTGATAAGTCATTACTTCTGAATTTAAAGAATTGTGGCTAACTTTCTACTGTGACTGCAAATTGTTCACTATATCTTAAGAATGGTTTCAAAGTGAAATTCCACTAAATGTCACTTTAGAGTCTGTAATTAAGGTGCATTTCAAATAAACAGCACTAGAGAATTTCTTAAAATGAGTTAAAAATGATCATGCATAGCATCCTCAAGTGCTAGAATTTGAAAATTCATTTAACAGGGAAGTCGGAGAAGACAAGGAAGTCTAGAGGCCAGACTCTTTAGCAGGACTCTGTGTGTGAGTCCTCCTCTCATGGTGGAGTCTTCCTAAGCTCTTACTTCTTCATCATCAGTTTGCATCTAACCTGCCTCTAATACGTTGGTGTCAGACTGTGGATCAGATGAGGACACATGAAGAGCCAAACTCATTTTCCATGTCGGGGCATGTAGTCCTCTGCATTTGGGAGGGGAGGAGGAAGATATAATGGTAGCTTGAGAAGTGACACCTGAAGGAAGAGGATGTTTGAAAATAGCCTTCCAGGCTAAAACCAAAGGTTTGCTTTGCTGTCAGCGAAAATTAATTACAAAAACCTCACGAAGTATTAATATTGCTTAAGGAATATTTTCCTGCATGGATGCAGCACTCCCTTGCATAACTTTCTGTGAAGCTGAATTCTGCTCAAAGTAGTTTGTTTGGGGTCTGTAATTCAGAAATCCTCCTCAATTTTTTGTCTCTTCACCTTTTCTAGCTACTGCTTCTCCTGCACCTAAACTCTATTTTATTACTCTAAAACTAATTTTCTTACTGTGCCATATAAATATAGTCCTTGTAGTCCTATCTTTGTGCCTGTGAGACATTGGGGCAGATCATTTTTTCTTCAAAAATTTTAATAGGGATCAGGCTCCTACAATTTATTAATGAGTTACATATCATTATTCTTATCATCCTTAATTCAGATTTGAAATAATGAATTCCTTCCCATCCTTCCTCTCACTCTCCTTTTCTTCAACTAACATATATTTTACCTTATATTGTGTACAAGTCAGTGCCTATCAAGAGTCCATGTGAACAGAAATATTTGGTAATCTACAATAATAAAAGGGTAATATGCTGATTAGACTGGACATCCTTCTGGATGACTTTCCGGATGAAGACATGGGGCGGGGCTGAGGCAGAAGCAGCATGTGGCTGCAGCGGCAGGGTCCGAGCCCCTTGCACGAATTTCATGCACGTGGCCTCTAGTAATATATAAATGACAGATAAAATCCTAAATCTGCTGTTCCCAAACTGAGCACCAAGGAGCCCTGGGAGTTCACAGTGAACTCACAGGGTGCTGTAGGGCATTTTATATTTCCCAAGAAAGCACAGCAAAAATTAGACAGATTTTAATACAGAGAATTTGGCACGAGGCATGGGCTTATCAAGGAGCGGTTGAGGCATTCATTGCGTGCTGAGGTCCATATATGCTTCTTATTTAAAGAGACACGAACTGGGCATGAAAATACTAAGATATGAGCAAAGGGTGTTTTCTAGGAAATAGGTGTCCTGGGAGACAAGATGGTTTGTAGTTGTCTGGCAGGAGATTGTGAGAGGCTCTATCCATCATGGAAAACATGTTGGATTTTATTCCTTTAGGTGAGTAGGAGTGACTGATCAAATCTGCTTTAGAATAATAACCCCTGTAAAGGGATGGGTTGGGAAGAGGTTAGAGTAGAGGTAGAGAAACTAATTAGGAAACAGTTTTCTTGGGCTTCTGATGAGAAGGCCTGAAAGAGAAGACACTGAGAAAGTATAATAGGGAACACTGGGGATGCTAACCTGTGGGAGCTGAGAAATAAAGGAAAATACTATATTGTACCCACTCTTGCAAGAAATGAATGCAGCTTCAGAAAGTCAAGAGGGATGAAGAGTACGAAAGGAGAATGCTTTTGCAGAGGGAGTCTCGAGAAAGGTGGTGATGTCTGATAGTGTTGTCAGAAGTTTGAGGTCAGTTCGGATAGGGTCAGGTTGATTTTGCACTTAATTCCTTCTTTGCCCTAGAAAAAGATCATTTCCCCATGACTAACATTTCCTTAAATCCAGACACAAGATATTGATTGTGCACTGTGGTGTGGTTCAAGCAGCAGTCTCTGGCTCTGAGATGCCTGGGTTCTAGGAACAGAGGCAGACATGCAGATACATTTTCCAGATGTGCACACCGTTGTGTGGTAAGACTAAGAGGGGTGTCCACAGTTATGTATTCTTCTCTATCAACGAGTAAGCCTTTGTGCATCTTGTAAATCCTAAAGGATGGAGGCACTTGCTCCATCTCTGCTATGCAATTTGGCATTGTTTTGTTTCTGACATTTTCATATGTATTGTCATGTTTACCTACTTCTTGTACCTACTAGAATCTCTGTCCTTATGGGCAGGAGTGCCTTCCATAGCCTTGCTTATTCTTTGGATGGAGTTGGTCTCCCTTGTTTAGTATGTGTCCTCAAAGTTTGCAAATGTAATTGGGCTATTAAGCAGCTGCTATAGGTACAGTCAGTGTCAAATATAGAGCATTGATAGATACTTTCCTGTGCATGACTTTGTGTTCTCATCTCAGGCATTTTTATCTGTAAATGTTCTTTTACTATGGTGGTGACTATATATACTTTTTCTTCATCTTTTTGAACTTACATTTGTGACTACCTTAAATGATATTTATAGGACTCAAGTATGGTCTACTGATTGAGAGGTTTGACTCCTACTCAATTCTGTTCCTTAGAAGAAGACATTCTTGGTTATATTCAAGAAAAGTGTAGTAGTTGTATTTTTAAATTAGGTCTTTGTTTTTTTGAGAGCTAATATCCTATTTTGAATAACCATACAGACATAGCTGCCAGGTATATTTCTCACTTAATAATACACTTTCTGGTTCATTTGGCCCAGCCCTGCACACTGAATTTGGAACTCTCTATGCCTCCTGATTCACCTTTCTTGCCTTGTTTCTTTCTTACCTGCACTCCCTTTTCCCTCTTTTATTTGTGCTGCAGGCCCAGGGGTCTTTTCACACTATTTTGCAAGCATACCTTGATGCCTTGGTCATAGGTTGTCCCGCTATCTGGAGATGTTTGGATAATCTAAATCAACATTCAAGAACTACTTTTTAACTTGTAGTGCTATTCTTGAACAGTAGTTTTTTCTTATGTTCTTAACCACATTATTAGCTATTTGGAAGAAAGAACTGTGTTTTTGTTTTGTTTTGTTTTGTTTTGTTTTCTTTACATCAACCACTGTGCCTTTTATATCTGAGACCTTCAATATCTGTTAAAAATGATAAATGAGTATTATGACTTAAAGTTCTATGAAATTTTCAAATAGAAGTGTGTCATAATGAGCTATGCTATTCTTCAACAGGGTTCAGAAATGCTCAGAAATCAATCACATGAACGCCCATAATTTGGCCTTGGTTTTTTCATCCTGTTTGTTTCAAACGAGGGGACAGACTAGTGAAGAAGTGAATGTAATCGAGGACTTAATTAATAATTACGTTGAAATATTTGAGGTAAATATATCTTGTTCTCATTAAAATAGTTTCCTTATTACTGCTTGTAAGCAAAAATATTTTAGGATGTTTTATTCAGATCTTTGTGAATATTTAAAAATAAAGACAGTAAAGTATTAGTTATATTTGATTTTTAATTTTTTAGATGCAACTAGCTTTTTAAAGTATAGTCATTGATTTAAACTTTTAAAGCTGTTTTACCATCTGGTGTCTGTTGGATAGAATATTTCTATTTACAGTGTTTTTATGTGTGTGTTTTTTCTACTCAGTATGTGTGTATGCACTAAATATGTGTACTTAGAGGTGTGAAATTATGAATGTACAAATTCAGTAATAAACGCCTGGCTGTTACATTCTGCAGTTGAAAGGGTTTCCATGTTTTCTTTTCACTGTGCACTGAATTGGAAAAAATGGAAATTCTGAAATATTACTCTATGGATTTTACTAAGTCATCTCTGTTCTAATAATTTGACTTTTCAATTTGCTATTTAATGAAGTTAATATTTCCATGTGTCATTAGAAAACTGTTAGTATGGGGATGGTTTCTTAGTTCAAAGACATGCAAATAGAGGAAGCAAACCCAGGTTTTGGAACTGTAGGATATACCGGGATCTAGTGCCATTATTATTTCTGGCATCTCAATTTTGTCATTTAACCTTTTTGAGTATTCCATTAAATGATGTTTTATAAGATGCCTTGTTTTCCAGGGCTTATAGATACACCAATGAAATGAAAGGGGTTAACATATGGGTTACGAATTTTAAAGTTCTTACGTTCTTGTAATAACTAATCACAAGATTCCTTAGCAAAGGGAAGGAAACTGTATTTTAATGAAGGGAAATAACCATTTGTATCTTAATTTACATAGGAATGGACACCAGAGCTTTCGGATTCTCTTTGCTCTTTGATCTTCTTTTAATTTCTTCCTATGTGTGTTCACTGTTTTTGATCAACAGCAGCCTCTGTGCAATAATTCTGATACTGAGAAATAAAAGAATTAGGAAAAAGTGTGTGGCTTTTGCATGCTATCTGTATTTTTTTATATGTGTACTGTTTCATTGATCAAAAAAATAAATGGCTATCTTCATGGTTTTGTTCAATCCAACTTTAAGTGGCGGAAATTTCAAAAGCACTTAATAAAAATATTTTAGTTTGAGAAATGAGTCTCGCCTCTCAAACTACTTAGAAACTCCACAAGCCAGTAGTCTCCCCATTGCCTGTTAAACTGCCTTGGCAAAGGGGCTTCCGTTGATGGGCTCTGGAGCCTGAAGTAGTATCCCCATAAAATGGTCTGACCTTGATGGACCCCTGCCTGGTTGGCTGTAAGCCTGCCCTCGCTGTGCGGGCCTGCACAGATTGAGATGGCCATTCTCATTTCTTTTCACTCGTTGGTCTTTAAATTCCTGAAGAAGCTTATGTGAGGATGAGTACCATCACTCCCTGTATTTTTATTAGACTGTCCCAAATTATATTTTAAACAGGTTAAAGAAGATCAAGTCAAACAAATGGACATAGAAAATAGCTTTATTACCAAGTGGAAGGACACTCAAGTGAGTAGTAATAGTTAGATCTCCAGAGAATAAAAAGAATTTTTCAAAAAAAGCCCCCAAAACTTCCATTGTAAGTAGATACATTTGTTGTGTTTATTTTCAAGTTTCTATCTGAAGCCAAGTAAAACTAACGGGCAAGGAGACCCAATATAAAACTAGTTACGTAATTCAGCAGCATGATGGATAGATGCAAAATGCCAAAGTTTACTCATGTAAATTTTTCAAAATATAAAGGGGGAAAAAAAATCAGTGTTAATCTTATGAGAATATCCTTTAACAAAATCGGTTTTCATTTATAAAAGCACTGTTGAAAATGTCAGTGGATTTCACAGAAAGCATTTAAAGCCAAAAATACTACAGGAAATTGAAAATTCAGGCTCCCTAGCGATTCTATCCATTCCGATTTTGAACATATAAATTATTTCTTCTCTGCTTTTGCTTTGCCTGCACTTGGATGATTGTATCAGTGGGAATGTATCCATGTGATCTCTGTAACATATGCTAATTTATGTCTTAAGTTGACTTTTCTAGATCTTCTCTCGTTTTCCTAACTCCCGTGATAGTGGCTTTGTGTGTTCAGGCTGCCCTACACTTTTCCAGGATGCCTCTTTCTCCTTATTTGAAGACTGTTCAATTGGCCTCGCTTAAAAGTGACCTTAAATCCTCTTCACCAGAAATCGTAGAGGATTTGGAGTACCAGTGTAAATAATAGAAATAGGTCAAATATATTCTGTTTATTGGATGCACTTGGAGAACGAGGCAAATGCTGCCTTATTAGTCAAACCTTAAATCCACCTCAGTACTGAACGATCCTCTCCTAATGGGATCCTGAGCTATCCTTCTGTCTGAAGGAGATGAGGAAAGGCCTTCATTCTAGTGCCTAGATCCCTGAGTCCCAAGCTCTGAAACTGATTTCCTCCAGGAGTCTTTCCTCCCTTTGGACCCGAAGTAATTAACGCAGCCTACAGGGCCGTTAGCTGTGACATCAAAAATCTGGCTCATTCTTAGCTACTTCTCTTGGGTTCTTGCTTGTTGAGGAAGAGTTTCATTCATGAACTAAGGGATTGTGTGAGCCCAAGAGATCTTTGACAGCATTATCCATGCTGTTTTACATAAAGCACAAGGACCCTCTGCATTTTTATCTTCCATATTCATAGTACAATAAGGAAATGAGTCTGGAATGTTTTTCTGCTTCCATAGAGGACAGAAGAATAAAATAATTATCTATAAAATAGAGTAATTTAAGGAGGAAAGTAGGAGTGTTTGGAAACAGTTATTCACTTGAGTTTTTCTCTTTCATCCATCTCTCCTCTGGAGTATTTTTCTGACAGTCTCTATGACTTATCCCTGCTATGCTTTCTTAGCTAGGCTTGTTTTTGGCTTCACTCTGTGAGTTTGTGGTGTTTGCTTTTTTAATTTTTAAAAATGTATCTTTCCTGGAGAGTTGTTTATGCAAACACAATGAAAAGTAGAAATGTCACCTGTATTTCCTCTTCCCTAGGATTTTTGTTCAGCATCAAAAGTGAGAAAGAAAAATGGGAAATCAGCTTTTCTAAACCTACGAATAATTAGGAACTCTTTTTGAAAATACATTTTTCATGTTTTCCCCACAAATTTACTCAGCAGGTTTTACTCTGAGGCAAATTTAACTTCAGAATGATCCTTTCTTCATTAAAGAGTGGAGGATATTATTCCCACCTGGTTACACACTTCAGGGAGTTTCTGGAAAAAGCTACTCAAAATATGTTTCAGAGATTCGTGTGGTTCTTTGTTAACTTTCACATGATACTCTCAGTCCATACCGTTATCTTAGGCTTTATATATTCTGGCTTGTATTTTCTTCACTTAAAATGTCTTCTCAGGTATAACAGTGACCCCAAATGCCACTAATGCTTGGCTACAGAGAATTAAAAACTTATCTTTATTATCTACCTTATTACTTCACTTCTATTTTCTCTTTCTAAGTATACTTTTCCTATTTGTAGTTTTAATACAACTCTAACCTCATTGACTCTCGGATTTTAATCTTTGGACATATCTCTGAAAATTTAGCAGGACTTATTTTTCCTTTTAATTGTTAGTATTAGACCCATACTATATAGCTTAGAGAGCAGAATTACATAGGGCTCATTTTAAGTTCTTATTTTGTTGAACAGCTTCTGTTTCTGTAGCAAACAATTTCTGTAAGAATATAAGGGTATTTGAGGACTCGAACCTTCTCAGTTAAGAGAGAAAAAGCCTCACTGTGACATGTAGCTGATTATAACATTTCTGTACATTCCTTGTCCTTAATCCACCATATCGGGAATATGTATCTGCATGCTCTTACTGGAGATTGGCTTCTTTTATTATTATTATTAGATATTTAGAAATAGGACTGGGACTTTGTCATAAGTGCCGTATGTGTGTGCTTGCAATATAGATTTACATTTGCTCTCTTCCCATCTGCCCTTTTGCAGGTTTCCCAGGCTGGAGACCTGCTAACTGAAGTGTATGTGGAGAGGAAGGAGCCTGACTGCAGTATTATCATCCGGGTGAGTCCAAGAGATGGGGGTCAAGAGCCGTGTTGGAAACTGCAAGTGTTAGAATGAATTTACACGTTCTGAATTTTCCTTTGTTTCTTAATAGCTCATTTTACTAGTCCATTTCAAGCCATAACTGATATAGGATGGACTTTTTAAACCCGTTGCCTCTGGGAATTCCATGTTTTAGTCATTTAGAAAGGGCACATTTCAAGTGCGTTCAGTTAAGGTTGGGGTTTTTTGTAGGTACTAGAAAACGACCTTAGCTTACTTTTCTGCTCCTTTCCTTCTAAGGTTCTTAACATTAGGCAAGTTATTTATTCTACTTGTGCCTCTATTGATAGTGAGGGAAAATTACAGTATTTACATTGTAGCATTGATATGAGGACTCAATAAACTAATACATGTAGAACACTTAGCAAATTGCTCAATACACAAGTGTTTCTATTACTATTATTATTATTATTATTATTATTATTATTCTCCTGCCCTTGTACCCTATACTTTGGCTTTTAGTCTTCCAATTTTCTTCAGTATTAGATAAGTCTGTTCTTTCCTACGACTATTATTCATCTTTTTAGGAATTAAGAAGATCCTTATTATGCTATCATAACTAGTACTTAGTCTGCCTTAGGAAGAATAACCATGATATTTCAAATTCCTACTCAGTAGAAATACATTCTATGTCTAAGGAATAGATATTTTGCCATATAGCAGGAGAAATTCAGCTTTACTTCTTATTTTTGTTTCAAAGTTAAAGATTAACTTAATATTAGATATTTCTGGACTTTACTTTTGTTAAACATGTATCGTATTTGTTTATGTATGTTTAACAATTACATGTTCTGACTGTGTTGCACTGATAGCCTTCCTTTGATCATGGAGCTGATCTGTGATCATAGGCTTTGGTCGCATCCTATTTCTTATGCTGTTGTGAGGTGGTGAAAATCGGGCACTTGAGGAACCAATACAGGTTAATCAGCACAATTCCAGTGTTAGAGTTGGTATTCACAACCCATGACTTAATTCCACCCACACCTGAACTCTTTAGTAAGCTCACTTTTTAAAAAATATATATATTTTATTGATTTTTTACAGAGGAAAAGAGAGAGATAGAGAGTTAGAAACATCGATGGGAGAGAATCATCAATCAGCTGCCTCCTGCACACCCCCTACTGGGGATGTGCCCGCAACCAAGGTACATGCCATTGATTGGAATCAGACCTGGGACCTTTCAGTCTGCAGGCTGTCTTTCTATCCACTGAGCCAAAGCGGCTTTGGCATAGTAAGCTCACTTTTAGAAGGTAGTACAACTGAGCACAATTTTTGTTATTTTTAAGTACAACATTTAGACAAAGGATTGTCCGGTTTCGCCTTGCAAATTGTCTTTAAAAACATTGCAAAAAAAAACAAAAAAACTTATACAAAAATAAACATTAACATTTGTTTAATGCTAAAGCCTATGCCAAAAATCTTTTAAGTTGCATTTATCTTAGCTTATTATTACCTCCATCCAAGCAGGTAATGTCCCAAGTTTATAAGAATAAAAACTGGGAATTAATAAGCATTAACTCCAGGATGCAAACCTGGATCATCATATTGCAAACGTGATGTTCATTCCACTGACTTGTATGTTACAGAAAACCAGAGAAGAACCAAACAATCCTTAGAGAGACGGAGTTACATTTATTATTATTATGCGTGGGCCCTGAAGAAAATGTCTCAAATTCTGGGCCCCAACATGGAGGAACTTTCCCTATTTATATGTTCTCACCTTCTTTGTCTCCCAAATATGGGGTGTTCCCGGCCTTCTTCGCAAGTTCTTAAAGAGCCCCTATGTGCTGGGGTCTTGAGACCTCAGCCAAAGGCCTGGCCTGGTGCCAGCACTGATAACTTCGTCCGGGGAAGGTTTAATGCCCTCTCTGAAGTGGGAGTAGCCTTATTTTCCTTATTATTTAAGCAAGCAGGCATTTACAGAAACCAAATAGCAGGGTTAAAATTTTAAACAGCATTTTTTATATAAAATGGATGCTTCATGTATGTTCTTTAGGGTAACGATTCCCCGTGTGTCCTTCCAGGAGTTCTAGGTGTTCTGAAGAGGGCCTTGGTTTTTCCCTGACACAGGGAGTGGAGTAGAGGCACATGTTTTGTTGATGATTTTGCAAGTTCGGTTTCTCAATAATTTATTATTTTTAAAAAAGGCCATACTGAAAAAAAAATTAAAGCTATTCAGATGAATATCATTGAGGAGATTAACCTAGTATTTTTACTGCTTAAAGCTCTCTACTTTCCCCAGATGCTGTTTTTTGTTTTTGTTTTGTTATTTTGCCTTTAAGTTTATACTGTATTGGGCTTTTCCAAGTGGAAAATAGTGGACTTCATCTATAATTAAGTGTATTCCAAAGAAAGTACTGGATTCCAACAAGCCCAAAAGATAGACCATAGGAGTTGTCTGTAATGAAAAATATTTATATTGTTTATATATGTGCTATATGCTTATAATCAATAATGAACTGGGGAAATGGGAGTGAGCACATTTCTAAGAAATGTTAAAATAGTTACATATTTTATTGAAAATGAGCAGTTAGAATATTCTAACTCTTAAAACATCTTTGATTTGTTTTACATTGTAACTAAATTCTCATTGAAGAAAACCGGCTTGCTTTTGGCTGATATGAATTTCAGATTAGCAAAAACAAAAACAGGAAGAAGCAAATCAGAAATTCCAAAGTTCCTGAAGAAGGCAGCGTGCCTGTGCAGTGGCCTGAGGCTTGGGGGTGTTGTAGAACTGGCCACCGGCTGGCACTGCAGACCCTGTCCTGTGCCCGGAAATCCTGGCTCTGCACATTGGTATCCCACCATCTGTCACTTGCGGGACAGGGCACACCACAGACCACTACCACCCTGGGGCTCTTTGGCATGGCAGACAGCAGTCGACTGTATAATTTAGGCTCCAGCCTGAATAATAAACCCAGCCGCTGTGAACTCTAGACTACAGAGCTGCTGAGTGAAAAGTCTCACTCCTGGGAGGCCATTGGGTTTGCTGCCTCGTGACAGTCTTTGCATGTGTGACTAGGTATAGTCTTCCCTCCTGAGTAATCTAACTGGGACTCAGTGAGGAAAAATAATTTTTTTTTCCTGATTATGTCTTTGTTGTAATAACTTTTTAAAGATATGTGTTTTCTTTTTATGGATTTTGGAAAGAAGAACGGAGAGAGAGAATATCATTGATCAGCTTTTTGCACATCCCCTACTGGGGATCAAGCCTGCAACCAGGGCCTGTGCCCTGACCTGGAATTGCTGGGTCAATCAATGCTCATGGTTCATGGGTCAGTGCTCAACTGCTGAGACAAATCAGCCGGGCCAAAGTGCAATAACTTTTTGCACTCACATTCCAATGTGTTTTATGAGAAAATCTGAATAGGCTACCTTTTCTGTGTGCTTAGAATAGCTAGTTAAACACGCAAAGAAGAAACTTGGTGTATCATAAGATGTGCATGGCGAGTATTGCATCCTAGCATCAGGCTGTGTCTGGGTCTGACGTATATTCTAAAGGGCTTTTGCCTCTTTTACAGATATCTCCTGTGATGGAAGCAGAAGAATTAACTAATGATATGTTAGCATTAAAAAATATTATTCCTACACCAGGTGATCTCTGGGCCACATTTGAAGTCATTGAAAATGAAGAGCTAGGTAAGTGATTTCCATGCCAGTTATTTTTAAATTCCTTAAGGATGGAGAAATACTATTTTTGTGACATCATTGCTAACGTTTTATGTTATTCTGAAAGTTAACATCATGAATCCCCATATACTTCAGTGCATGTGCCAAAAAGTGTAATTGTCACTTGAGGTTGCCGTGCTATGCTTTTACTCATCAAAATAATTCAACTTTTTATTGACTCTAAAAGTATATGTCGTTCCTTAGGAAATAAGGCTTTTGTTTATAAGGAAAGGCAATTTCATTTGTAACAATATTCTAAATGTCACCACCACCATCGACATTATTCCTCTATGCTACTAACTGAACAAAAAGAATGTTGATTTAAAAGATTATTTATGATTTTAAAAAATGATTTGCTTTCAGCCTATCAGGACCCTATTTTGTCAACATTTTTCTTTTCATATATCTCTTTAGTGGAGTGGATAGATGTTTTGTCATCTCTTATCTCAGATGTGCAAGTATAAGGAGAGCTTTTAAAACTCCTTGACTACTCCAGTAGTAAAATGCTGATTAAGCCTAATGTTCTAATGACACAATTTGGTTTCAAAGACCTCTGGGAAAATAAAAAATAAGATGCAGAATGTCTTTGTCTAGCTGATACCTGCTGTCTAGCTGATACCATCTGTCTAGCTGATACCTACTAAGGTCTTGGGACCCTTTCAAGCAGCTGTCAAACTGCCAACAGTAAAATCTTGCCACTGCAAGCTCAAGATAAAAATGAGAATTCAACATTGAAATATCCCATCGGGTATTATGAGGAATACTGTAATCAAATTATAATGAAATGGGATTATCAAATAGTTTCTCTCATTACTCCATTCTTGATGTTTTTATGCCATGATATATATATATATATATAAATATATATATATATATTTTTACCATGCACAGTTCTTTTTTTATTTTATTTATTTTATTGATTTTTTCCAGAGAGGAAGGGAGAGGGATAGAGAGTTAGAAACATTGATCAGCTGCCTCCTGCACATCCCCTAATGGGGATGTGCCCACAACTAAGGCACCTACCCTCAACCGGAATCGAACCTGGGACCCCTCAGTCCACAGGCCGACACTCTATCCTTCGAGTCAAACCGGTTTCGGCCATGCATAGTTCTTTAAACATCTTATTTGTATCTCTGGCTGGTGTTGCTCAGTAGTAAGAGTGTCCACCCATGCATTGAAGGATTGAGAGTTTGATTCCTGGTTGAGGGTTTGATTCCTGGTCAAGGGCATGTACCTGGGTTGCAGGTTCTCTCCCTGGCCCCGGTTAGAAGAGGCAACGGATCAATGTGTCTCTCTCACATCTATACTCCTTTCTCTTTCTCTCTCTCTCCCCCCTCCTTTTCTCCCTTCTATACTCTCTCCAAAAAAACATTGGAAAAAATATCCTCAAATGAGGATTAACAACAACAAAAGCATCTCATTTGTATTAAAATGTTATTTTGCAATATTCACTGTCAAGAGTCAGTGACTCTGGTGCTTTGGTGTCTGTCCACGCGTGTCTCCTCCCCAGACAGACTCAGCCTGTTCCTCTCACAGAAAGTGTTCCGGCAGATGACTCCCATGACCCCCCAGCCCCAACTCCCAATGCCAAGTCTGATGGCTTTGCTTCAGGCTTCACAGCACTTGTCCATTTTGTGGCATTTATTGTTAACCACCAACTCTTTTTTTCTGGCCCTCTGTTGTCAATTCTTCTTCCTTTGTATCCTAATATAATGGTGGGTTTCTGCTGCTCCAGTGTTCTTTGCCATCTTTTCTCATTTGACATGTTCTTTATAGATAAGGTTCTTCCATTCTTTGTATTTGACTAACACATATGAGTGGGAGTTCCCCAAATGTTCTTTACTCTTTCTCCATCTGACCTCCTTTAATATGCAGACTAAGGGTTTTAGTGCACTTTGTCCTATCTTCTTCATAGAGCCCATCACACGGACTCATCTCTCTCAGTGGGAGCTCCTCAGAAGGAAGGGGGAACTCTTTTTCTATCTCTAGCATTAGGCACAGTGTGTAATACGTAGTTGCCGTACAATTAAAATCCCTTGCACTAGTGAAGCACAATTTTGCATCACTATATGGTTTAATGGCGGTAGAGTCTTTTGATTTTTGATGTTTAATTTTAAGGAGACGGGCTAGGGTAACAACTTCATCATATTTGTGAATAAAAGGGGACTGTCGGCATTACTGCCAGAATTATCTTTGTAAATCACAAACAGGATCGTATTGTTTCATCATTTAAAACTCTCATTATTTACTCATTGCCCATCCTCTCTGCAAGATCCAGCTCAAATGCCTGTTCTCCATGATGACACTTAGATAAACATAGTTCTCACTGATCTTTTTCTGATTATTTGTTTATCCTATATATAAAAAAAAAAAACCCTAATATGCTAAGTGTCTGGTCAGCCATTCAACCAATCAAAGCATAATATGCTAATGATATGCTAAGACTGCTCAACTGCTTGCTATGACATGCACTGACCACCAGGGGAAGACACTCCAACTGATAGGTTAACTAGCTGTTGTGGTCTGGCCAATTGAGACTGAGCAAGATGCTCAGGCCCAAATACTCCCTCAAGCCCTCCCACAGTTCCTCCCTGGCTGATGAACCTCCCCCATCTCTCCCTGGACCTGATTGTGCACCAGTGAGTCCTTCAGCCTGGCCTGCAACCTCTTGCAATCCAGGACCTCTTCAGGGATGTTGAAGGGCCAGTTTTGGCCTGATCCCACAGGGGGAGTGCCTCTCAGCCAGAAGCCGGGCTCACAGCTGGCAAGTGCAATGATGGTGCAGGAGCCTCTCCCGTCTCTGTGGCAGTGCTACAGGGGCCGAAGCCCTCAGTCATCCCCCAGGAGCTCCAGGTCTGTGAGAGGGACACAACCCCCCCAAGTACACAAATTTTGTGCACTGAGCCTCTGTGTAGTGTCTGATTATTGAATAGTAGTATGTATACACCTAGCTCTGTCCAAGACCACATGTTCTTTAGGACCTTTATATCTCTCACTGCCTCTAACGTAATGCATTGAGGTGGAACACATCCTGCAAATATCTTGTTAACTGAGGTGGAACCTCAAATCGATGTATTCTGAACCTGAGTGACCTGGATTGTTGCTTCTTGGAAAAATGAGGCAGGCACAAGAGAAATGATTTCTCCTTGTAGATTAGCAACTCCTAGGATATCTCAAGGCCCTGGTGAGGCTTATCCTGCTTGCCTCTGTATCTGTTGTGTTTTTTGGACATTCACCTGCACAATAAGGAATCACGGATTTGGGGGTAGGCATCATCTCCCTACCACCCTATCCTCTCAAGGGTGGAGTCAAAGCATGTTCCTCTGTCACAGCCTGGGGGCGCTGTGCCTTGGGCATCAGTCCTTCTAACTAAGAGGAGCAAGCAGAATGCATGAGGGTAGCTAGGAAATGTAATAAACTTAGAAATATTATCTTTAGATTTCATCTTAGAAAATGAAGGGATTGCTTACCCTGAAAATGACTGAATGTTGACTTGCATGTGACAATGAGCATATCACAAATAGTACAGATGAGTTGGGGTGGGGTGGTGGTTGTTATTTTGTTGCTCTTTTGGCTACTTGTCTCTAACTAAAAAAAAAGAAGAAGAAATAAAGAAAAGAAAAAGAAAGTTATCTTGTTGGAGCTATAAAAGGACTAAGAGTCCTCAAGTTGTTTTGACTTGTGCATGTCCAACTATATAATCAAAGGAACACCCATGCACCTCCAGAAAGAACACATTTAGTGGAGTAAACAGTTCAGACTTGGCATGGTTTTACTGTTTGGTCAGCTGTTCAAGTAGAAACGCCAGCAGAGAAAACGAAGATGGTTTTCACAGCTTTTAGAGGAACAAAGTGAGGAGGCCACGAAGGGGCTGTGATTATGCTGGCTTCCTGAAGCTTCTGGAGCCATGGCTCCACCTGACCTTCCGAAATGTTAAAAGCTTTATTGCTGGAAACACGCAGGGAGGATAAAGCGAAATATGAAAAGAAGATGAAAGTGAAGGCCTTGGCAGTCACAAGATTGTAGCTGATAGGAAGAGTGTCAGCAGGGAATCAGTGCCTTTTCTAATGTAAATATAAATCCTGCAAGTCAGCAAGTAACTGAAGGTAAATGGATAAATGGATAAGTAAGGGAACCAGAAGGACTGGGGTTTATTGTAGGTGTCTGGAAATTGTAAAGCAACAGCCTCTGCCCTGTCCTATCCAGTGCCTGCTTTGTATAATAATTACTCTGTAAGGTTCCCTTTACACCCTTGAGATAATCTATGATACTTATTTTTTTAAAATAATATAGTGCCCTGATTGTAATATAAAATGAGAAAGGGAAATGTGGAGTGTAACGTATAACTGCCGACACACTCCTGTATGGTCAAAGGTAATGAAAATAGATTCTTCACCTGTGCGAACTTCTCAGGGACATGCCGGCCCCAATAAAGACTGATGTAAGCATGTCCTCGTGAGGCTCACACATCACTGGAAGCATTGCTGCTGTTGGTGAGATGGTGTCTCAGTCCATTTGGGCTGTTATAACAGAATTACACAGGCTGGGTGGCTTTCAAACAACAGACCGTTATTTCTCACAGCTCCTCTGGAGGCTGAGAAGTCCCAGATCAAGGTGCTGGCAGATCTGGTGTCTGGAGAGAGAAATCAGTTTCTCAGGTCGCAGAGGGCTGTCTTTTCTCCCATTTCTCAGGTGGTGGGAAGAAGCTTTGTGAGTCTCGTTCATAAGGGCACCTGTCCCATTCATGAGGATTCTGCCTCCCTAAGGCGCTGCCTCCTCACAGCATCACATTGGGATTCAGTGTCAACCTAGCAATTTTATTTGGGTGGGGGTGGGGCGGGGAGAGGGACAGACATTCAGATGCTCACAAACGGTGAACAATTTCTAGAGAGTTCTGACAAAGCATGATCTTTTTCTCCCTCTATGGTAGTCAGATTCATGGACAAAATATTTCAGGTTAAAACTGTAGAAAATATTTTGAGAATTTATATGCATAAAGCTGAGTTAGAGTCTAGGCTCAGTTAATTTATAAGTGGGTTTTCACTCTAACTGCCTGGTGGGACACTTGAAATTACATCATTAATGCCACTGAATTGTTCATGTGAAATGTGTATGTAAAAATGCACATGTGAAAAGGGCAAATTTTATGTTCTCTATGTCTTACTACACTTAAGAAATTGTCAAAAGAACAAAAAATAATTTTTTTAAAGAACTGTTAAAAATTCAGTATTGGATAGAGGAAAAGGCCTTCCTTCATCCCATCTTTTGAAAGATGCCAAGCATCCTTGACCCACTGCTGCCAATCATTCGGAGAAGCTGAAACCCACCTGAGAGGGAATGTAACCTCATCAAGAGCTACTCTTCTGAAGGGTGCTTTTGTTTTAATGCTTCACCTTAAAACGGAGCCTGTCCTCTGCTGAGATAGCCCCATATTCTGTAGGTCCTTGACTTGCTGAAGAACAGTAACTTCCATTGAGAGGGGCTTCATTGAAGTGGGCCTTTTCACCGAGCAGGTCCAGCTTGTGAAACACTTTCTGTGCAGCAGGTATCACAATGAAATGTTTCACTGATTCTCCTCAGAGCTACTCTGATACAGAAGATGTGTTCATTGTTCGCCAGGGTCCTTTCCAGCCCTCCTCTCGATTGACACAAAGTGCTGTCGCCCTCTAATTATATGGACAGGACAGGGACAGACTTGCATCACTAGGAGTTTGGCACTAAGACTTTAATTACTGGGGAAGTCATAGTTGTCTAGGGAAATCCTGTGTTATTATCACTAGAAATTTAACCACAATACCTATAATTTCAAGTGAAAAATGGATAGTTCTAATTGTAACAAAGAAGGCCAGGTATTTTTCTGCAAACAAGGTTTGAAACTATTAATAATGTGATTTACCTAGCTAATCTTCTCCATAACCTGTTCTTTTCACATACCTACACTGAATTTTCAGCAATATTTATGCCATGGATAGTACACAAATGTGTTATTTCTAATAATGCCTTAATGCCTGATCACTTATACACCATATAATCTATTATGACAGATGATTGTAAATGTAATTATGCATACAAATTATTTGTAGGTATTCATTTATTCGAATTTTTTTTTTTTTTTTGTGGAGTCTAGGTTTTTCTATATTAAGTTTTATGTCATCTGGAAATAATGAGAGTTTTACTTCTTATTTTCCAATTTATACGCCTTTTTATATCTTTTTCTTCTCTGATTGCTGTGGCTATGACTTCAAATTATAATTAGTTTTATTTTTAAATACAGTTCAATTGGATTATAACCTCTATTAATAGAAGACTACCAATTAATTATAGCTTTGGCAAATTATGGGCAATTATGATATTTGCCAACTTATTGCAAAATTATTTGAAGAAAAGCAAGATTGATATAGCATGAAATATTTTCTTTAGTTTTACAAAGAGTTATATTCTGCCTATTGATCCACTTACAAATATTTTCCATTAATTATAGGCCACCATAGAAATTCATAATGTATTTCATCACTCAAATATTTATTGAACATCTGTTACATACATACTTAGCACTCTACTGTATACAGGGATATATTTGTAAACAAGAAGGAGATATATCTTCAAGATGTTTGGCCTAGTTGCTCTTCTTTTTTCCTCCTCCCTCCCTTTCTCCTTTCTTCCTCCCTCTCTCCCTCCATTCCTTCCACCATTTCTTCCTTCCTTATTTGAATTGACATCATTATTGGCTTGCTCCAATAAACACAGGATACAGAACTGCATTACATTGTACTGAATAGTAAGCAAAAATCTGCTTATTTACATTGGAAGCAGAAAATCATTTTCTTCTCTGGACCTGAGATCGTTGATCAGTTCTGAATGCTGTGGTCATAGCAGGGCAGACTAGTAACTCCTCTGAATTTTCAGCAGTCTGTATGCTATGGAATATGTTAAGAAGGATATGATCTACTGTATTTGTTTGTCATTACTTGTGATTTTATCACCAATTAAAATACCATGGTTCATGTGTGATTATGATACTGTCTACAGATTCTTGTTTGTCATTGCCATTCCTACTTTAACCAAAATGAAACTCTAGATGCTGTGTGCTTTACATTTAGAAAAGTGTGAAAGAGTTGAATTGACTTACATTTAGTGATTTTTTTGGGGGGGAACTACATCAACATCTTTCTCTTAGATCTTATGTTCTTGTTGTTTCAATTATACTATTTTTAGTGTACTGTGAAAGGGTTGAATTTCCCCCTCTCCCCCAATATATGCTTCTATTGTAACTTTTTATTAAATGATTAGCATATTTTGATCAGCAAAAAACTTTTATATGAGGCTTTGAATGTAATTGTAAAATCTATTTGTTTAACTCTGTGCTAAGAACTTCTCATGCATTAAAAAATATGATTTCCTAAAATAAAATGTATATGGATGAGTGTTTATTATGGAGAAATCTTTAAGAGGTCATTAACTTCTGGTTTGGGTTCTTTATAGCAACAGTTAATGTATAATATTGTCACATAATGTTTCTGATTGATGTTTCCACCAATAGTTAAACATAGATTAACTATTAGAATATTGATTGTTTTTATATTATCTCTGTTGAAGTTGTATTTTATGATTTTATATTAATTGACTATAAGAATATCAGTTATACGTTGTTCATTATTGATCAGAAATTACAATATGCTAATCTTTAGGATTAATTTATATTATCACTTACTATTAGACAAGAGTAATTTTGCTAGTCTTTTCACAATTATTTAATTGCATGTGAAAAATAGACAGATTTCCATAAGCAAACTAGAATATTATTTTAAATTCAAAAGCACATACTATAAGCCTGGACAGTGGTTAGCATTATTTCTGAACTGTTATCTAAAGGATAGCATCTGTGGTTTTTAAAAAACTTATTGAGCAAGCCACAAATATTCCTGCATAGATTCATTTATATAGTAAACTTTATTATATACTTACTAGTGTTCTAGGTGTTAACAGTCTCTTTTATGTAGTCTGAATGCTATTTTTATGTAACATAAGATATGATTATGCTTATTGTTGAATAGAGACTTTTTAAAGGATTTAAAAACTGTATAATTATAACAGATGATACTTTAATTTGATCTGGTTTTATTTTGCAGAACGCCCTCTTCACTACACAGAGAATGTGTTGGAGCAGGTGCTTCGGTGGAGCTCATTAGCTGAGCCTGGCTCTGCTTATCTTGTGGTGAAGAGGTTCTTAACCACTGACACCATCAGACACCATAATGGTAGGTTCTGCTATTATCCCACTTTGCAATTCCAACAGAAAGTTCAAGTGGTTGAAGGATACTATGACACAAGTGGCATTTGAAAATGTCAGAAGTAAAAATGAGTAGCTAAATACAGACCCACTGACGTAATATTGTCCAAGAGGAAGAAGAACAGGTATGTGCACAGGAGTGACATGTGCCAGAGTTGGGTTTCCTGGAGCCTCGCCCTATGGTAACAGTTGGCTCATCTGATGGTACCAAGTTAACCTTTTTGGAAGAATGATTTATGCTGGAAGGGCTTCTTGCCATGCCTTTGGGGTTTTTCTAATGCTCAGAGAACTGGTGAACTTTCTTCCTGAATTATGAAAATTCTCTGGGTATTCAAGAGTGCAAATTATGCCGGGACCGATTTGGCTCAGTGGATAGAGCGTTGGCCTGTGGACTGAAAGGTCCTGGGTTCAATTCTGGACAAGGGCATGTACCTCTGGTTGCGGGCACATCCCCCGTAGAGGGTGTGCAAGAGGCAGCTGATCGATGATTCTCTCTCATCGATGTTTCTAACTCTCTATCCCTCTCTCTTCCTCTCTGTGAAAAATCAATAAAATATATTAAAAAAAAAAAAAAGAGTGCAAATTAAACCATCCGTGGCTCTCAGCTGTGGGGCAGTGTTGTCTCTGAGGGGACATTTGGCAATGTTTGCAGACATTTCTGACTGTCACAGCTGGTTAGAGTGGTGCTTCAGGTCTTTAGAGGACAGATAAAAGGTATGCCACTAAGCATCCTACAATACGCAGCACAGCTCTTTACGACTAAGGATTATCTGGCCCCAAATGCCAATGGTGCCCATGCTGAGAAATTCTGATTTAGATAATCTGTGAAATCTGCTCTAGTTCTTAAATTCTGTATTTTTCATTGTAACATTGAGATGGTGGGTTACATTTCTACTTATACATTGCAATCAAAGGAGGGACATAGATGGGTTACATGAAATTCATTGGTGATGGATTAAGGAGATGGAAGAAAGCAAAGTGGTGGGAAACTCCTGGGATTGGATAAAAAAGTAAAATGATGGACTGGATGTGTACTTAGGTGAGTGCAGGAACAATTAACATGATAATGAAGGAATCTAAGGCATCTATCCTGGCACCCACCACATTTGGTTGTGCCCCAGGCACTCCAGAAAAAGGGTAGTTACAAGTTACCCAGACATCTCACAGATATGTTATCTTAGAGGCAGGAAGGCAAATGGGCTCATAAAGAAGATCGAAGTTGATCATTGTCAGGTGAAATATCGGTCTAGGACATGACTACCCATTATAACCTGTTTGTAGTTAGATATTTAATTTTCAAACCATTTTTTGTGGTTATTTTAGGTCTCTGAGTTTGCAAGACTGCCACGCAGGCCTCTCCTGAGCTTGTCAGGTTAGCATGTGGCTCTTTTCCTTCACACTTTGGTGTTACTCTCATATCCCACTCCTTGCTCAAACAGGGTGGAGTTGAAGCACATCCCTGTCCTTGCACTATGCCTACCTCAATTTGCCAAACCAGTATGCAGCTTGTTATCATATCTATAGTTCTTCCTACCAGGAAACTGTCTCATTGCATGAACAGCATCCGGTTTTAATGTAACACTCTCAGCAAATACATTCATTGGACCGTTTCACATTAGTAGTTAAGTATTTTGGGTCAAATAGGGAAGGGACTTTGAAGTAAATTTTTAAAATACTTTTTATAGTTTTCTAGCCAATGAAGTATTTATAAATGTTTTTCAATTAGAGCTTGATTTATAGTTAGATTGTCAAAGCAAAACCATTGCTCTCACTATGGTGGTTCCTCATCTGTGTGGATTTAGGATGACCCTTTTAAATCAGCTCTGGCCTATTGTGTGTGTGTGTGTGTGTGTGTGTGTGTGTGTGTGTGTGTTTAAATCAATCTCTTAAATCATGATTTCCCCCCCCATACTTCTGTATTACAGCAGCCTGGCATTAGAAGTACACTTTATGGGCTATACTTGGTGATAGATTTCAGAGGGGAGAAAGGGGAGATTAGATGATCAGATGATCAGTCTGCTTTGTCTCTGTCTTGGCAAATGTCTCCTAAATCAATCACAATGACCACCAACTCCAGAATCATTGCTCCGTTCCATACATCCACCACTTCTTAAACTCTACAAGGAAAATAATGAAAGTGAATGGAATGTGATGTCTCTGTCAATTTGTTAGAAATATTGGCGTCATCTCAGAAATACTTTGCTCTTCATAGCAAGGTGGAATAAGGTTAAATATTTCTCTCACTGAAGATTTTTTTTTCCTAATGGGGGGCCCAACTAGAAATCATCTAAGTTTGAAACTAGAGTAGTTGGTTGCAACCACATTTTCTCTCAGGAAAACATAGCTATTGCATTTACCTTTTTTGAAGCTTTAAGTAGCAATAACCTGCTGAAACCGGTTTGGCTCAGTGGTAGAGCATTGGTCTGTGGACTGAAAGGTCCCAGGTTCAATTCCGGTCAAGGGCATGTACATTGGTTGCGGGCACATCCCCAGTAGGGGGTGTGCAAGAGGCAGCTGGTCGATGTTTCTCTTTCATCGACGTTTCTAGCTCTCTATCTCTCTCCCTTCGTCTCTGTAAAATATCAATAAATATATATTTAAAAAAAATAAGTAGCAATAACCTTTGCACTCTGTCCCTGAACACTTGACATCTAGTTGCCACAAATTTTACTCTCTGTCCAACTAACTATTCCAATTCTATATTTACACACACAAATATCTGTGTGACTTGCATTTTATTAATTGTTTTGTTACAGGAGAGTTGCAAAGTATAGGTTCTTGGGAAATGGCTGAAAGAGTTTTCAGAAGCCCCCACAGGCAGATGGGAGGTGGAAGAAGGCTTTATTTGTGAAGTTACATCTCTCAGGTTCCAAAGTCCCCTGCCCCGGAGCCAGTCCTGGCAAAGCCGCAGCTGGGGTTCCAGCAGAGCCAGAAACAAGGCCAGTGTCCAGAGCTTCCCTTCCACATGATAGCCGATGTGGCTCAGCTCCCACACTAATTAAGGTCCATTAGTCCACTGTATGGAGCAGCCCAAATGGCCTTTAGCCTATGGACTCAAGGAGCCAGCCCCTGCCACAGGAGTCACAGAACCCAGCGAGAGAGAGAGAGAGAGAGAGAGAGAGAGAGAGAGAGAGAGAGAGAGAGAGAGAGAGAGAGAGAGAACTTCCATTGTTTGAGGTGTACTAGGCTTCATGTGCTTGCAGTTGCCATGCCCATTCTGACACTAATTGGTTTCGGGGTGTGACTGGCAGACAGCCAGTCACCTTTTCACATCACTCAGACCTCACTGGGCATGGTCCCTTCCCCAGTCAATCAGTGGGGCACAGACCTGGAGAGTGGTGGCTGCAGCTTTTTGGCAAAGTTGTGTAAATGGCATGCCCACATCTAGTCTTCCCGTTCCTCCTTTCCTGTGGAATTATAACCAGGTGATTACAAGGGCACCCATATGATAGTTGTTGTTTTTAAATGTAACACATTCTAAGCATATACTTTTGATTGACATGTTTTCACCACTTTCATGCTAAATGAAGAATTTTTATCAAATAATACATTTGGAGGTTTAGGGGTGTTAGTTTTCTGAGTTTCCTCACGTTATCTGAACAGTTTAAAATGTAGACATAACAGTAGGAATAGATTTAGAATCAGCCAACATTTACTTTCTGCTCATTCATTTAAGGTAATGAGGTAACATACTTTACTTTTATATAAGTATACTAGAGTAAATGAATTTTCTGTTGCTTCTACTTAAAAATCAATTCTGTGGCATTTGATTGCTTAGAAACAGTTTGCGCCATTGTCATTATTGTAATGAGGAGTTAACTAACTTGAAAAGGAAGATAACAGTCCTCAAATTTCTTTTCTACCCCATGGATTATGACTGAGACATTGAGGTAGAGAGTATAAAACTTCATTAAAATGGCTAAATAGACTTTGTCATAGCTAATCTTACTAGACCATCTTTTATCATTTTCTCTCATATTGAGTTGTTTGAACATCTCTATCACAAGTAAGGCATATATTTATAGCTTCTGTAAGGTTCCGGAATAAATAATTTTATATTGCTGAAGTCTTATTTTAAGAGCTAAAGTTCTTTTAAAAATCACCTCGATAGAATGTAATGCATGAGAGTGGAGTTTTAATGATCTCAATGGGGAAGAAATACTTTTAAGATATAAGATGTAACTCAAATGCAGGTCCCTGTGGGTTTCTAAATTTAGATTGCTGCATAGGACAGATGCTTTGGAATTAAATTTGCATTAGAATTGAATAGTTTAAAATGCAACTGCTTCCGGCAAGTTCAGACCTGGAAAGCTGAGCTATCCACTATCAACTGACTTAGGAAAATAAAAAGAAAATGTCAGCAGAAATAGTATGAGTCTATAAATCATAGTCTAGCTAAAATAATTTACATTGCACTTCCATCAAATCTTTTTTAAATTCGGAGGTAAGACCTTGTCCACTTCAAGTGGAAGTACTTTCTTTGGATTTGATGATAGTCTTTGATATTCACTGTAGATAGAGTAGGAATGCCCTGAATTTTCCTCGTGTTATTATTTGGTACCGAGAAAACCAATTGATAAGTTTCTGTTAGCTCTCTTTCATGCAGGAATCTGTGGAAAATGTAAAGGATTATTTTTCCCCCCACAAGGAACTGAAAATCTAAATGCATGAAGACTATTTAAATATAAATGTAAATACAAACACAAGATGCTATAAGTGACTCCCGAAGGCCAGGATGCTTGTGTGTATGGAGAGCTTTCAGGCACAGAAAGGTGATTCAGCGCCACGGTCACTGACATCTTTTCTAACACTCAGTGTCTCCCAGTCAAGGAAATACCTCCTGGGTCATTTTTCTTGGATGTCTTGATCTTCCATTATAGGACTATCTCATTCCTTCGCTTTGTAATTAAGGAAATTATGGACAAAATTTAACTGGACTGCTACCTCACTTTTATCTCGGTAGTAAGGGAATGTTTTCTAAAGAAAATTATCAAGAGTTGGCACCATAATGACAACGTCATGGCTACTTGGCTTCAGTGTTCTTTCTGTCCACTGTACTTTAGGTCTCAAGCAGGCAGCTGATCATTGTCTGGATTTCCAGGAGAAAGTTTTAGATTGGGAATATATTGATACACTTATACATGATAAGTTTGTGGAGATACATTGATAAATTTATGCAAATGCAAATTTGGTGTTTTCTTAATAAAATTAGTTGAAAAGACTCATGTGTGTGGTATGATCACAGTAGTGCATATGAAATGTAGTTGATGTTAAATACGCTACCTTAGCCATTTTGCCTTGTTACTCTTACCTGTTTCATGTTGGCAGGAATTTCTTAGATTCCTGTTTCAGAATTATGGTAGAGGTTTTCTTCTTTACCTGTGTATTTGCATTCTTATATGAGTGCTGTTGAAAGAAATATGAGGCAAGCTGATGATGTAATTTTAAGTTGCTTAGTATCCACATTAATGTCCATATATATATATATATATATATATATATATATATATATAGTGACATTAATTTTGCTAGTATATTTAATTTAAACTTACATATCCAAAATATTATAATTTCAACATGTAATTAATATTGCAAAATTGGGAGTTGATTTTTTTTTTTACTCTTTTGAACTGTCTTCAAAATCTGTAAGTATATTTTATACTTACAGCACATCCTGATTGAGACTCACCATGTTTTAAGTGCTAATGAAACACCATAGGCAGGCCTATGTATTATAGATATAAATAGATCCAGTCAGTGGATCTGTGACTTGTCCAACATGCCCCTGACATGTGCTATTCCCAGAAATTAACCATAGGCTACTTAATGATAGGAAGCAAGTTATTACTTTATAATATCAAAACTGAAAGAATAAAAATGTTTTATATTCTGTTCCAAATAAATGAAAATGTACCTCACTTACAAAAATAATGTACTTTACAGAGAGAAATGCCATGGAAAGTATCAAAGAGGGATCCCTGAAAATCAAAGAAGAACCATCTAAAATCCTGTCTGGAAATAAATTTCAAGATCGGCACTGTGTTTTACGAGATGGATATCTCATTCTTTACAAGGACCTGAAGGTATTTGCATATGTAATATTTGACTATGCACACATTTCTGTGTGGGTATTAACATTCTTATCTTAAGGCCTGTGGGAAATAAAATAAATTTCAGAGTAAGCTGAGGATTCCTCTCAGCCTCTGGGCTATGACATTAATGCACTGAGGAGTGCAGTGAAGAACTCCGTATTTGGCCTTTATGAAGCACCTCACATTTTTTTAGAACGAGGAATGACTTAAGTCCTAAAGAAAAGTCTAATATGCATTACATAAACAAGCATATTGTCATGCCCTAAGGCAAAAGTGGCTTGAGTTTAGCTAATGGAAATTAATAAAAGCAAATTAAACTCATATACTATTTTACTCTTTATGTTGACTAAAATGACTAAGATTTTAAGAGTCACAACCCCTAATGTGGATGAGGATGTTGATTAAACTACAACTCTCATACATTGCTGATGGGAGGGTACAGTCACAATCACTGTGTAGAAATGTTGTGCAGCTGTTAGATAAGTTTATTAGAACATCTACCCCTGGATCTAGCAATTCTGTTCCTGGTTATTATGTCCATAAAAGTGTTTGTTCAGGAATGTTTGTAAGCAGCTTTTATTCATAAAAGCTGCAACCTGGAAGAAGTAAGGCCTTAGCCAGTTTGGCTCAGTGGATAGAGAGTTTCCGCCCTGAGACTGAGGGTCCAGGGTTAGATTCCAGTCCAGGGCATATATCTCAGTTGCAGGCTGGATCCCTGGCCCTGTTTGGGACTTCTGCTGGAGGCAGCCAGTCTATGTGTCTGTTTCTCTCTCACATCAATGTTTCTCTCTGTCTCCCCCCTGCATCCTTCCACTCTTTCTAAAAATCAATAAAAAAAATATCCTCAGGTCAGGATTAAAGAAAAAAGAGCTGAGAGAAGCACATGATGCCTCAAACTAATAAGTAGCAAGGCCGATTTGCACCTAGGTCTCTGTGACCCTCACACCTTAGCTCTCAGTTATAAATGCTGTCTGCCTACATTTGAAACAAGAGATTTCCTTAGGATATAAGTCTGCTTGTGTTAATAATTAATTCCATGGCTATTATCTGTATAAAATCTATTGCAGGGTATGCAAGGATAAATCATAAAATTTTTGTGATTTGATATTAAGTTTTTAAATTAAAGCATAAGAATTCAAGTTTTGCTTCTGTCAGACAACCTTCCTGATGTTCTGTGTTCAAGGATTAACATTTTGAAAATATCAATCACAAATAAATATACCAGAATGTGTATGGAGAATGTGTAATTGATCTAAAGCTAATGTTTATAAATTCTCTTTTCATAGTCTATTTTTGTGAATTTAATTTTTATTACTATGGATATTTGAGATAGTTCAGTATGTGCCTATATAGGTTCATAATGTTTTCTATAATTCTGAAATCCAAAAACCAAGATGATTTTGCCTCAGCTCAGGCTGCTGTGAGAAAGTACTGTACATAGACCGGGTGGCTTATAGACTGCGGGCATTCATTTCTCAGAGTTCTGGAGGCTGGATGTGAATCGGGGGCCAGTCGGGTCACGGTCTAGTGAGGCCCTTGTCCAGGTTGTAGATTGCCAACTTGGATCCCACTTGGTGGAAAAAGAGAGAGCCAGCTCTCTGGCCTCCTTCTATAAAGGCACTGGTACATTCATGTGGCTCTACCTTCATGCCTTAATCACCTCCCGAGGGACTCCCTTCAAATACTATCACATTGGGGACTAGGTTTCAACATAGGAAGTTGGGGGTAGAGGGTATTACAAACATTGTCTATAATAATATTTATAGCCTTTATTTATCTCACACCATATGAAATATCATGCATGTTAATGTAGAAATATGAATATATTTGAATAAAGGGTGCTGCCCCAAGCAACACTGGTAGTGTGGTGGAGTTTTGTGACATACTGCATACGCATTGTATTATTTTTAAAATATGAAAACATGAAAAATTATCAATTCTGATACACATCTGGTTCCAGCTGTTTTAAATAAGGGGTCATTATGTGTGTGTTTAAATATACATATATAAACAGACATATATATCCAACATCTATTTAAATTTACAACATTGTAATCAAAACGATCTTCATTTACTAAGAGCTGGTATTACATTCATAAAACATTGGAGAAACTAAGCAATTCTAAACCCAGTCATTAACATTCAAGGCAAGTAACAAGGATATTTGTGAAGTCTGTTCAATTACATACTATTTTGTTTTCCTTACAGAGTAGCAAACATGACAAAATGCTTCCTCTCAGCTCAATGAAGTTTTATCTTGGAGTGAGGAAGAAAGTGAAACCTCCAACAAGGTAAGGCTTGAAAGGGGAGGGCTGAAAAAGTTATGGGGATATATGTCTGTTCAAGGAATTGGGATCAGAGGCATTAGCCTAACTCCGTGGTTGGCAAACTGCAGCTCGCGAGCCATATGCGGCTCTTTAGCCCCTTAGTGTGGCTCTTCCACAAAATACCACGCCGAGGCGAGTCTATTTTGAAAAAAAATGGTGTTAAAAGAAGTTTAAGTTTAAAAAATTTGGCTCTCCAAAGAAATTTCAATCATTTTCCTGTTGATATTTGGCTCTATTGACTAATGAGTTTGCCGACCACTGGCCTAACTTTATACACTATGCTGTAGACAAGTTTCTTAAGAAGCCAGATCCAGAGAATGTCTGTGGGTAGCTGAGGAGGGAGGCCGGTCCCCTAAAGGCAGCCCCTGGGTGAGTGCCTGTCTCCTTTGTAGAAAAAGAAATCCCAGGAGCCCTGTCCGCTGGGAAACACCTGGGTGTGTCAGCATCCCGTCCCTTGTTCAGCCAAAGCCTGGGAACACAAGGAATGTTCCAGGCAGGTCTGCCCAGAAGAAGGCAGACAGCCTGGCTAGTCTGGCTCTCTGATTTTCCCTTTTTGCTTTGCCGAATTTGGTAGTAAATCCATAGCACATAGTAGATGGACCCCTCCTAAACATTCTGTTCCTCTTGAACACTTGAATCAACCCAGCATTTGGTTTACCCTGTACTAACTTCTTTTAATCCTCACCTGAGGATATGTTCAGTGATTTAGGAAAAAGGACAGAGAGAGAGGAACATTGATGTGAGAGAGAAACATCAATTGGTTGCCTCCTGCCTCCTGCACATGCCCCTACCCGAGATCGAACCCGCAACCTACATATGTGACGGGATTGGCAATTGAACTGCAGCCTTTTATGGTGTAAGGGACGATGCTCCAACCAACTGAGCCACCTGCCTGGGGCCATACTGTACTTGCTTATCAAAAGTTACTTTTGACTTAGCTAATTAATGTTTCTACATATACATCTAATCTCATGAAACTTCATTTTAATGAACTCTCTATGGTTGGTGACTCTCAAAACATTCTTGCTTTTGCCTCCATGCTTAATTTGTAAGCCCAACGCAAATACCTGCATTGCAATGGGCACATTTTTTTTTTTCAAATTCTCACACTATCAGCAGGTCAGTATGAATATTATCTTATTTTGGCCATTTTTTTTCTTGACATCTGCTTTCACTCAGCCAAGACTCCCTTCTGAGAGGCTTCTCCTACTGCCCCCTGACATCCCGAGGCCCCTCCCCTCCGTCTCCCTCCGCATATTTAAACGGGTAGCCACATCCCTCCACAACCTCTAGATAAATCACACCCGTGGAATCTTCACGGTGGGTACCCTTTCTGTTATGCACTTCCACTGTTAAATGTCACCTCCTCATCACCCCATCCTGTTTCCGGGCTGGTTAGGTTTATCATTGTGACTATGTTTGTGTTTTCTCCTCATGTGGCGCAGCTGGGGACTGACAGCGTTTTCTGAAAAACATCAGTGGTAAGTTCCTGCCGGCCGTTGGGGGATCTGGTGGATGGATAGTAATCTCCGTAAATGGATAATGTTGTGACTTGGCAGCTAGATTGATAGACAGGAAGTGGAGGTAAAAATCTTTACTAAACTCTTAGAGTCTAGGAAGAGAAAAATGTATTTGCTTTCAGAATTTAGGTCCATTCCAGTCCCATGTATCCTAATTGCCCCTATCTCTTAAGATCTGATTTCTTCCTAGTTGCTATGAGTGTGGGATCCTAGCTCTCAGGGGACACGCAGGCAACATTCAGTTTTAAATAAGGGATAAGAACTAGCAAAAACTCAGCTAAAAAAGGAAAATCTTGGTTTCAAAACTGTTCTTTACTGGATTCCACTGATATCATCGGATCGAGCCACTTTCCCCGAAAGATTGTACTAGAAGTCTCCTTCCCTCTTACCTTCCTGTGTCTGATGAATCCAAGCTGTACTGACTTGCCTCTTCCTGTCTCTCTGACCCACCATACCCCGCACCCTCGGGCCCTGCTTCATTCATCTGCCAGGATTAGTGCAGGAGTTCTAAGTGCTCTTCCTGCCTCGGACCTTGCCTCTGTCTTCTAGAACGTTCTCCATCCAGCCCCAAAGAGATTTTCTAAAATGTATGTTTCTTCCTGCATTAAAACTCTTCGGTGATTCCTGTCACCTTACAGGATAAAGCACGGAAGTGTAGTCCTGGCATGCAAGGCCCTTAAATATGGGCTCCATTAGCTTCATCGCCCGTGACTTCCCCTTTTTACTTAATGATAAAGTTAGGCCTTGAATTCACTGCACACGCCTTGCTGTATCCCACCTCCATGTTTAAGAGGTGTGGTCCCTTTACCGAGCCTTCATCTGTTCCACGTGCTGCATCCTTTCCTCATCACTGTCCTCTCCCTGCCCAGCTGGCAGACTCCGCTGTCCTTCATTCAGCCATAGCTCAGATGCCCCTAGATCCTGTAACCCTCACCTTTAATCTCTATGTCTTCTTTGTATCTACAGTATTTTGTACACATTGGTGTGTTATTAAAAGGATCTGTAATCAAAACCTGGAGAAAGGTTCTCTTGGATATGGTAAATGGAAAAGGACAGTGTCTCTATGATAATTTTTCAATGAAGCAAGAATATTTCAGAAGTTTTAACATTTTTAAAAAGTATTTTTATTATACAGGAATATAAAAAACAATATGGTTGTATCGAATGCCCATTTTTCTCATTTTGCTGTCAGTCACAACATTTTCCTCTTATAGGAAAACAACCTCCATCCCATCCCCAAGTGTGCTGTTTCTCTTTTCGCTTCTCTTGCTGTTTTAATTTATTTGTTTACGTTCCCTAATGGACTGTGTGAGTCTTGAGTGCTCTGTATATTTAGGTTTTCAATAAGAGGTGTTATTGGACAAAAAGCAGTTCTTTTCACTTAGCTTCTTTTCACGAGTCTTGTGGGTATTAATGTTTATAATCATAATGATGGGGATTGTCTAAGCCTTTTTAAAAATCTGCTATTAAGAAAACATACATACATTTTTCTTCTTAAGCTGGAAGTTTCTAGAGAAGAAAACTTTTTACCATCTTACACCTGAAAAAGCAAATGAGATTGACCTCTCTGCCTTTCCAAAAAATATTGCTGATTGTCGTTCAGCAATTATCAAAACCTTAGCTATATTTTGTTTAAAATGGCATTGGTACACTATTATTCTGACATCGTATTCTAAGCAACCTGTACTGAGATACTCCCATTTTGATTGCGATAAGCCATCCATCAGGGAAACCGTAGGGATTTCTGATCCCTTAGTTACCAAATACACTGGAGAGTGGACGTTTGGATTTATATGGACATACATCTTGCTTTGCAGGCACCTGTGTTGTGACAGTTTACAAACCCAGATGGAGTGGATGGCCAGTGTCTTCCTCGCCCAGGTAAGGTATCTGTTTCCAGTGATCCAGGGACATGTATTGATGGTGTCTGGGAAATGGTGGTGATTTCCAGTAACATTTGAATTTATGCATATACTTTTAATTACTCATTTATATATTTTTAATATGTAAGCATCAGGATTTATCCCTTTCTCTTTGAAAGAGAGTTTACTCTCTTCATGGAGGCTTTTGGCCATCCCAGCAGGTCTGCAGCCTAGGAGAGGTGTGTTGCTTCAAGACAAGACGACAGGATAAGAATTTTGTCTGAGCTGCCACCCTACTAGAGCCCCACGTGATCCTACTCTCCCCTCCCCTGCCTATCCACAAATAAGGACGGGAACCTACATTTCTTTATTACATGTTATTTGCTTGAAACTTCAAAAAGAGTTAATATGCATGTACCTTGCAACAAACTATGCATGACAATTCTTAATGACGAGGAAATAGAGATGAACAAAGGTTCCATCCTTTGCTTAGGACCATATATTTAGTTACTGGTTTAAACCCAGAGGCAAACACATGTACCCCATTCCCCATTCAGTCTCCTTCTGGGAGGAGGGTTCACTTTTCGGGGGAAGGTTTCAGCAGTCCCATTAGTAGAGTTGGTTTCCCCCCAGGCTTGTCTGGCTGAATTCCAGCATTGCTTCGCACAAGAGCATTGAAATTCACGGTCACGATTAAGTTGCCACTCTTCATTACCTAGGATGTACTTCCCCATTTCTCTTACAAGAGAAGTTAATTCACCCCCAAAATCTGGTCATTTTCTCTGTTCCTTTAATTCAGTATCCTCTCCAGTGGTTAATAAACACTGTTCTCAGCCTGACGCTATAACTACCTGGGAATACATTTGCAGAAAAAGACTAGTTGTTAACTTTTTTTTTAGAGACTTTTCTTCTTTTGGGGAACTTCTTAATAATTCAGGTGTTCAGGTCCTACTTTAAAAAGCTGCGTTTGAAGTATTTTACTAAAATTGGAACTATAGAATCGAAAACTATTCTCTTTGTGGTGCAACTAAGTTGATTTTTTGTTTTTGTTTTTATAATTGAAGTCAGTCCATTCTGTAGTTTGAAAATCAAAGTATAAACAGCCAGGAAGCAGATGCCACTCTCAGGTGTTATTTTTCCCTGCCTCGCTTATCCTGTGTGGTCTCAGCCCAGTTACCTTTGTTTGTCCAGCCCACGTTTCAGGATTAATGTCAACACAAAGCTCCTTTGGGATTTAAGGATTTAATGGGTCACCTCCATTGAGAAACAGACAAGAACGTAGCAGATGTTAAAAATACACACATACACACACACACACACACAATAGTGAGTGTCCCTCCCTTATAATTAGTCCTTCTAGTGAGCAGAATACCTTTCTGATACCCATCTCTATCCTCACCCCGCCTCAGATATCAGTTCACAGGTTACATTCTCAGAGAAACTTCCTCATTCTCCATGTAGACCTTCCTATAGGAGCACTTCACCCCTGTTCTTCAGTACAAATATTTGTGCATTTTTTAAAAATATATTTTTATTGATTTTGTACAGAGAGGAAGGAAGAGAGATACAAAGTTAGAAACATCGATGAGAGAGAGTCATCAATCAGCTGCCTCTTGCACACCTCCTACTGGGGATATGCCCGCAAACAAGGTACATGCCCTTGACCGGAATCGAACCCCGGGACCCTTCAGTCCCCAAGCCGACGCTCTATCCATTGAGCCAAACCAGTCCCGGCTATTTGTGCATTTTGATTTTCCATTTCTGCCTTTCCTACTAAAATGTAAATTTCATGAGAGGAAGGACTCTGTCAATCTTTTTTTTCCCTAATTTTATTTTTCAGTTACAGCTTACATTTATTATTTTGTTTTAGTCTCAGGTGTACAGCAGAGTGGTTAAACATTCATATATTTTAAAGCAAACCCCCCCAATATTTCAGGTAACCCCCCTGACACCATACATAGTTATTATAATGTTATTGACTATATTCCCTATGCTGTAGTTTATATCCCTGTAACTGTTGTATAACTTTTACACTGGGTCCCCCAACTCACCTCCCCTTAGCAACCACCAGTTCGCTCTGTCTTTTGAGCCAGTCGACTTTGTTTACTTTATTCTTTAGATTCTACATATAGTGAAATAATATGGTATATGTGTTTCTCTGATCATCATGTTTACTTTAAATATTTTACAATTTTATTTGTCAGTTATATCTCAGTAAAGTGGTGAGGAAAGAAACTAGAGAGTGGGAGACAAATGAAGATTTTGGGATGTGATCACCCTTCCTGTATAATAAAAGGCTACTATGTAAATTGCCCTCTTGGGAATTTGACTGACTGGGAATTCAACAGCTTGCTATGATGTGCACTGACCACCATGGGGCAGCGCGGAATGAAGGAAGGCAGGAAAGGAAGGCCTCAATTGGTCCTGATCACCGGCCTAGGGATCCTACCTGTGCACGAATTTTGTGTACCAGGCCTCTAGTTGGTTATAATAATGGAAGTATGATCTCAGCTATATGATCTATGCAGGAGAAATTTTGAAGTCACTTGTACATAATTTTAAGTATCAGAACATATTACTTAGATCTAGTGATTTCTGCTGTTGGGAAAAATACTCCTTGGGTCCATTCAATGACACCCAATTAGGCAGTATCTAGAGCATTGTTTATCATCTCAGGAAAAGAAATCGTGTTTGAAAACTGCATTTCTCTTAGGTTCCTCAGAATGTCATTTAACGCATGCACTATACTAGCACATTAGTGAGTAAAAGCGGAAGCACAATTCATAAAGTTGCCACTTCCTTCTGAACCAGTTTTCTCCCAGCTTTACATGTTGGGAACATCCCATGTATATAACATCAAAATTATTTTATCCAGTGTGGGACCATGACATAAAAATATTAGGAAGCTTGTCATTTTCCCTCTGATTAAAATATTACATACATCTACTGTGTTTGATTTGTTAAACCAGGGTAAATACTTCCTTAACGCATTGGGAATGGATCATGAGAATTCTTGCTTCATATTACACAGTATCTTACAAAGGACTATACTTTAAAAAGATATTAGTTTATAAGAACATGTAATAAATAACTTCAAAATGTGATATTTAATTGTAAAGCGTGCCTTTAACATTTATGTAAAATGTTTTTTTGTACTCCCTCAATAGAAACGTACTTGGCTACTGGGTAAAGCTAGCAATAAAATCACTGGTCCTCATGTTAAAATTCAAGGGCAGACCTTATGCATATCCACTAAGTCTAGTAATAAGTAGGACCTACACTATAGGATTACTGAGGATGAAAGGCGATAATACATGTATATAGATAAGCCCAAAGTCTAGCAGTATGCCCCTCAATATAAATCAGCTATTCTACAATGGGTATGCAGTCAGCCTTTGTTGAAATGAATTCTGTGCTATAATACCCTACATTAAAATACTAATTGCAACATAAGCACAAGACTCTGTTGAGTCTTAAGAGTGGTGGAAAATAAGACTAGGCATTCAGCTATATAGCTTACCAAATGTTTTTCATTTCACCATAACATCTGTAAGCTGCTCCTTTTATAGTTGGTGTTCTGTATTTCTTTCATAGATTGTTGTCTGAAAATCAATTTGCTTTTCCCAACATCTGACAAGTGAATGTACCCTGAGGAGTGGAAAAACCTTTAAAGATTTTTCTTTTATCCTCATATCTCAAGGATTTATCAGTCAAGAGCTTATATTTTTACCTGTGGATATTTTTCCCAGTTGCAAAATTAACTTTTTCCCAGTCATATCTACAACAGCTCAGTGGCAAGAATATGTAGTCAATAATCTGAGAACAAATGTGCCACACTCTCTGTTGAACAATGATTTTCAGTGTAAATGTATGTGTACAAGGTAACATTTCTCTGGAAATCAATTAGGTGAAAGGGTAACTTTCTTAAAAGGTCATCAATTAAGGCTAATTTTTCTGATGACGTCCCTAAGGTTGGCCTGGGCTACACAGGATCAATTTATTATGTTTACACTGAAGTCCTCTTTGGTGGAGAGAACAAACGTGAACACATAGTTACTTTGGTTGCAGGGCCGAAAAGTATAGACAAGTATATTCTTTTTCTCCCACGAGGAGATGTGCTAGTTTTTAAAATATTTCACCCCTTTTGGTTTGGTAAATAATACAGAAGGCATGTATTATATTTGAGACTTAGAAATTGAACTGAGCCGAAACCAGTTTGGCTCAGTGGTAGAGCGTCAGTCTGCAGACTGAAAGGTCCCAGGTTCGATTCCGGTCAAGGGCATGTACATTGGTTGCGGGCACATCCCCAGTAGGGGGTGTGCAAGAGGCAGCTGGTCGATGTTTCTCTCTCATGGACGTTTATGGCTCTCTATCCCTCTCTCCTCCTCTCTGAAAAAAGCAATAAAATATATTTAAAAAAAAAAAAGAAAGAAAGAAATTGAACTGAGACCTCAGAGCTCAGTTCATGTAAGAGTTTTATGTCCTTCAGCGATGCTGCCGTCAGGGCCCATACCCTAATGCCAGATGGCATTCTCATAGAAAGCAGGTCACTGGGTGTGTGTGTGTGTGTGTGTGTGTGTGTGTGTGTGTGTGTGTGTGAAAAGTGGGCCAGTGGTTCTGTAACAGGGTGTACATACATCATCAAGTCACACACCAATGGCAAGAAATTGTGTTTCCACAGCATGAAAATGATATACGGCCACCTGCTGGGAAGCAACGAAAACGCTCCATTACCAAAAACCCCAAAATCGGAGGTCTGCCTCTCATTCCCATCCAGCATGAGAAAAACACCACCCAAGCCTGGAGAAATATCGAGGTAGGTTAGGACTTTATTTCGTTTATGTTCACTCTAGCATTTGTTTTCTTCGGTCTTACTGTGATTGAGTGCACTCATTAATTCCTTGGCTTCAAAAATATCTGGAATAATCCCTTTGAAAAGCATAAGAAAAATCACATCTGTCAAGAAAACATGATAAATTTTATGGCACGTTTTTGGAGTTTTGCGGTGTTTTTTTTTTTTTTTTTTTTTTTTAACTTCTTTGAAATGATTAGTTTAATGATGCCATTGACTGTTAAATATGCACAATGCCTTATCTCTAAAGTAGCCAAGGCATCTTAAATATGTGTACAGAAGCTCTGATGGTAAAATCAGTCTCAAATTAGTCTTCAAGGTTTACTTCTAACAATCTGAGAATGAGCCCATGGCAGCAGACGTCTGCTGAAGCTCTGGTCACCTGACTTTCTGGTGACATTACTCAAGTTCCAGTAGTTTGGGAACTGATGGGGTGTCCCCGTTAATTTAAGGAATTGCAGGATGACCTCTGAGCATCAAGAAAGAAGATGGGGCACTTTTTTCCCTGAAAGCCGAGATTTGTTTCCCTTCTCACCTTGAGGGGCAGGGAGTGCAGAAGTGGCATCAACCTGGCTTTGAAGTGCAGGCTCTTCAGGAAAGGGTGGAGGCTGTTGACACTCAAAACTCACTGCTCTGGGGCTAATGCACATTTCAGTGTCTTCATTGAGTCTTGGAAAGAGACACATGTCAAGGATGGCCTTTCTTCTAGAAGCTAGGTTTGGAATTCAGCTGTTTGAATGCCTTACTTTCCAAACAGAAATCTTTGGAAAGACTAAAGCCATTTTAATTTAGTGATCAGATTTTTAAAACTATTTGTCCATGCCTATCTTTCTGTGAACACTAATTAACATTTTAATATTCTTCTCTAAAAGATAAAAGCTTTGGAAATATTGGTTTATTACCTTTGTTGTCTACTTGGTCCTTCTGAACTAATATAATCAAAGAGAAGAATAAACCTCCAAGAAACCATGAGCTTGTTTCTCCTGCCATTCTGGGTGATAAACTGCCCTACAAAACTATGGATTCCTTAGCTAATCTAGAAGCTTAAAATTCCAAAGATCAGGTTTTCCAGAAACCTTGGTTGGGAGACACAGTTTGAACAAGTGAAATCAACATAGGGAGTGGATATGCCCTATAGTGACCCAGCTTTTCCGGACATTGTCTTAGGATCAATATGGCCCAAAGCAAAAGCTATAGTATTGGTATTAAAATACATTAATCAGTACCTGTTAAGAATTTGAATGAGAATCCTACCTAATAAAAGAGTAATATGCAAATTAACCACCACTCCATCGTAAAGATGGTGGTGCCCATAGTGGCGGAGGTGCTGGACACTGGTGGTGTCACCTCAGCAAGAGCCCCAGCATCTCTTGCACAATGAGGGAGGGCAGGCTGGCCTCTGGCCAGAGGCCAGCTGGGACAGGGGATGCTGGCATCATTGCAGGCTGGGCTGAGGGACAGCCCCCCAATGCACTAATTTTGTGCAATATATAATTGTTACCTAATACAAAATTCTAAATTTCAGAGACAATGTTTTTATCATACTTAAGACCAGGAAACTGAACTAAAACACTGAAGATACTGTTAAAAGCTTTTAAAACAACTCCATGAAATATTAATAAAAAATTAATGAGTTAATTAAACCCAAGATTTTTTTTTGTAAATTTAAGTGTGGTGATTTGGTGATTCAATGTATAGGCAAAAAGTGTTTAAAATATTCCAAAGTTGCTGGGGTGGGGGGATTTGAAAGTTTAAAAGGCATAAAACAAAATTAGTGAAAACTGAAAAATTTTTTCTATGAGCTATAAATTTCCTGGGGCAGGCGTGGAAAACATGGGAAGTTAACTCTGACATTGCTTTTAGTAATATTTTTTTTTAATATCTCCTTGGGCAAGGGAAATGAAAGAAAAAAATAAACAAAAGGGACTACATCAAACTAAAAAGGTTTTTCACAGCGAAGGAAACAAACAAAATGAATAAAACAACACACTGAATAGAAGATATTTGCCAATGATACATCCAATAAGGGATTGTTGTCCAAACTCATACAATGTAACACCAAAAAACAGTCCAATTAAAAAATGGGCACAGGGTTCACTGCTGTTGCTCAGTGGCTGAGCATCTTCTCATGAACCAAGAGATCATGTTTGATTCCTGGTGGGCACATGCCTGGGTTGTGGGGGCTCAAACTCCAGTAGGGAGTTTGCAGACGCCGCCAATCAATGGTGTTTCTCATCTGTGGTTCTATCTATTTTTTTTTTAAATCAATAAAACATTGAAAAAAAGCAATACTTAAAAAAATAAATAAATAAAAAATGGTCATAGAACCTATATAGACATTCTGCAAAGAAAGCATACAGGACCTGGCTAATAGGCATATGAAAATATGCTAAACAACTAATCATCAAGGAAATGCAAATTAAAATCATGAGATTCCATCTCACACATGCCAGAATGGCTATCATCAATAAATCAACAAGTGTTGGCAAGGTTGTAGAGAAAAGAGAACCCTTGTGCACTGTTGGTGGGATTGTAAATTGTTGCAGCCATTGTGGAAAACAGTCCAGAGGTTTCTAAAAATATTAAAAATAAAACCTATGAGCCAATGATTCCACTTTGGACATTTATCTGAAGAAATCCAAAACACTAATTTGAAAGATATACACTGAGTGGCCAGATTATTATGATCTCTGAACACATAATAATCTGGCCACTCAGTGTGTATCTTTTTTTTTTTAATATATCTTATTGATTTTTTACAGAGAGGAAGGGAGAGAGAGAGCTTGAAACATGGATGAGAGAGAAACATCGACCAGCTGCCTATTGCATATCCCCTACCAGGGATGTGCCCGCAACCAAGGTACATGCCCTTGACCGGAATTGAATCCAGAACCTTTCAGTCTGCAGACTGACGCTCTACCACTGAGCCAAACCGGTTTCGGCAACTCAGTGTGTATCTTAAATAATAAAAGGCTGATATGCAAATTGTCCCCTCCACCAGGAGTTTGATCAGCAGGCAGGCTGGCCAACCGCCCATGTCCCCTCCCCCTGGCCAGGCTGGCCAGACCCCACCTATGCACGAATTCATGCACCGGGCCTCTACAATATATACACACACATGCACACACTGAGTGGCCAGATTATTACGCATTTAGAGATCATAATAATCTGGCCACTCAGTGTATACATCCCTGTATTTGTTGCAGTGTTATTTATAATAGCCAAAACATTGAAGCAACTTGTGTGTCCATCAACAGACAAAAGGATAAAGAAGATAGAGTGTGTGTGTGTGTGTGTGTGTGTGTGTATATATATAAAATGGAACACTTATCTCATTAGCATTTAACACTATTACTCAGCCATAAAAAATGAGATCTTATTTGCTACAACAAGATCTTAGGCTTAGCCAGGACTGGTTTGGCTCAATGGATAGAGCATTGGTTTGGGGACTGAAGGGCCCCGGGTTCGATTCCAGTCAAGGGCATGTACCTTGGTTGCGGGCATATCCCTGGTAGGGGGTGTGCAAGAGGCGACTGATCGATGACTCTCTCTCATTGATGTTTCTAACTCTCTATCTCTCTCCCTTCCTCTCTGTACAAAAATCAATAAAATATATTTTAAAAAAATCTTAGGCTTAAAGGGTATGCTAAGGGAAATAATTCAGATAGAGAAAGACAAGACTATATGATGTAACTTACACATGGACTCTGAAAGATACCTCACAAAATAAATGAACAGAGAAAACAGAAACAAACTCATAGATACATAGCACAAATTGGTGGTTGCCAGACAGGAAGGGCGCTGGGAAGATGGGTGGAAAAGACAAGATTGGAAGTATGAAGTTGCCAGTTGATAAAAGCAGCACAGGGATGTAAAGCACAGCACAGGAAATAAACTCAACACTATCACAGTAACTGTGTACAGTGTCAGGTAGGATCAGACTTACCTGGGTGGTCACTTCATAAGGTATGTAAATGTCTAATCACCATGTTGTACACCTTAAACAGTAATTGAGGGGGGAAAATTAAAAGAAAGTATATCTCTGTACCATTGCAGGTATTGTGACAATGGATTTCCTGTGCCTGTAGGTCCTTATAGTTTACTGAATGAATGTGTACTCTAGTCATTTAAAAAAATATTTCTGTGGAATTCTAATGTTATGTGGGAGGAAAGACTGTACTAAATATTTTGGGAGGAAATTAAAAATAAAATAAAAAACACAGAAAGAGGATTTCTCTGTGATAACACTCTTCAGAGTCTTTAATATGCTGTTATCTCGAAGAGGGGCTGTGGTATAGAGAACATTTCCCCAACTCAGGGGCCACAGAGACTTCCTTTTCTCTGGGTGCTGTTGGTATAACTGCAGAACTACAGATGCACAGACATGTGCCACATCCAAGCGGAGGGGAATCGGTAGAAGGAAGTTTGAAAAAAAAACAACACTCGGATTAAGTAACTACCCTGAAAATAAAAAAATAAATAACTACCCTGAAAGGCGTCTTTGAAGTTCTGCGTTAAATGCACATTCAAATGAATTTCCATGGTCTCCATTTTAGTCCATACTGCAGCTCTCAGATCAGCTACAATTTACATTTAGGCAAGCCACTTGTGTCAAAATTAGACCTTAAATCCTGGAAATAGGCTGTGATATAAGAAGCCTCAGCTTTCCTGTGGAATGCATTTTTCAAATGTGAATTGCCACGTCTGGCTTTCCCATGCGGTGTTTCATTTTCCCCTAGAGTGCCCGCGGGGAGCTGGAGAAGCTGAGGCTCCACGAGAAGCAGGACCAGGAGCCCGGGGACAGCACCCTGAAGGACAGAGCCTCCATGGTGGCCCACTGCCTGGAGCACAGGGACGATAAGCTGCGGCACCGGACCCGGAAGCACCGCAGCCTCTACTGCCTGGAAGACACGGAGGCCGAGGCGGAGGCCTTTGCTGGGCCTCAGAAAGGCCCTAAAGGCTCCAAGACCCTGGGAAAGGCCGAGGACAGGAACGGCAGAGCCACCCCGGACGCCGATAATAAGTTGCCATCCCAGGTCATCAAAGAACTTAGTGTGGTTCTACAACGATCCAGAACCCTTCCAAAAGAGCTACAGGGCGACCAGATCTTGCAGAAAGAAATAAAATGACTTGTAAGGTGTTTTTTTTTTTGTGTTTTTTTTAAAAAAAATATATATATATATTGTGTACAATGATCGTGTACAAATCAGAAAGTGAACTATAAGGTAATTCATGGTTTGTGCCATGTGTCTGGCTGTATGTACGCATTTGAAGAGCCTTTGGAAATATATATGTGTATATATGTGATACGTGTAAGATTAACTTTATTTTGGTCTGTACAAAGCTTGTACAACTCAACTGTATTAACCATGTGTGTAAAAAAATCCTTGGGTTACTTTGAGTGGCCAACCTTTTAAAGTTAGGTGTCTTTGAAGTGGTGTAATTTATGAGCACAAAGATCCACCTGTACTGTATTGTATAAAATGCTGTTCAAACGAAGCCTATGAAACTATGTGTAACACATTTTGCACTTTGAGAAACCTTGTCCATTAAGTTAACACATGTTCTTAGGTTCATGTAGGATCTGCCTTAGGGGAAAGAAAGGGAAGGAAGTGGAAACAGGAAGAGTTCATTTTAGTGGCTGCCTATCAAACAACACTGGGGCTTTAAAAAGAAGCGAGAGGTAAACAAAGCATTCTAAAAGCTGAGGAGGTTCAGATGTATTCTAGTTCCCCTTTGAGAAAGGGCTTGTTAAGAAGATGTCTGGAGACTTAAGTTATTTCCCAAGAATCTGGCTCGGCTAACGGACATGTCTGATGGCACTGGCCACTCTTCGTCAGGGTGTGATGTGCCAACCACAGTCTGCACTCCCTACATACAGGTCTCTGAGTGGCTGCTAAGAGGAAGCACACTGCTCTGGAGGCATGAGCATGGGGCCCGGTGCACGCCGTTGGCACTGTTGCTGTGCACGGGAACGTGGTTCTTAAGAGTTCTTCGCCATGGTTTTAGTACGAACACAGTTCATCATCACAGAGTTTTGTTGTTGTGGCTTTTTTGTTATTGTCTTACTGTGTTTGCCCCCTTCTTGTTATTTTTAAATGAAGTTGTAACATGGTTCTCTCACTGTCAGAATTCACTGGAAGCATATCGTTCTGCATGGGTGGTAGATAAGATAAAGATAGCCAAGCCCTATCTTTACATCCACTTCGGATCAGCTACTGAGCCGGAGATGCCACTAGGGCCTGCAGCACTAATTATCATTCATAGATGGGGAAGCACTTTTTAGCAGTGTCTTTAGAATTTTATCAGATCAGGCAGGTTTCCATGAGGACTTATTTTACGGAGTGATGCTTTATCCCTAGCATTTCTTTTTACCCCCCTCTATTTTTCAGGTATCTTTATCAGAATTTGTAATTAAAGGACCATACTTGGGTCAGTCTGATCACAGTACAGGAATATGCTGCCAAATGCTATGAGTTTCTTCATTGTAAAACACTGGTCACTTATATTGGGTGGGGATACAGTTGTTTTCCCTGGATATATGATATTTATTCTTTTAACCCAAATAGATTGGAATTTTTTCAATGAAGAGAAAACTGCGGGTCAGTTTATAAAATAGATGGGCATTGCTGTGGAGCCTTTGGTATTTTAGAAAAAAAAAATCCAAACTAAACATTTATTCCTAATAAGTGATATTTATGTTGTAAAGAGGCATATGAAAATTAATGTTGGACAACATTGGAAAATGGGAACAGTATCGGGAGTGTATTTGTCTTATCTGAATATTTTTGAAACTTGAGCTTCAAATCTAATAGCTTCTGTTTCATGTACAATGCTCTTTGTTTTTCCAAGTGTAAGATAAGGGCTAATGATATCTCATATATTTTGAGTAAAAATTAAAATTGTTTTACAAGTCCACCTGAGTGTGACTGTCTCTATTTTCAGAGTTGAAGGTTGTCATAAATTAAATTAAATATGTTATTTTTCCTTTTTTTAAAAAAAATTGAGTTTAGTATATATTTAAAACTAGCTCATTTTTTCATGTACATCAATACAAATATTGTTCTATTTTTAAATGATGAATATATGCAGACCTAACACAAACAGAGTGATGGTACTCTAACTTTCATTTCTGTAGCCCTAAAAGTAATTACTAGACATTAAATGGTCATATGATCCAGCAATTCCACTTTTGGTTATTCACCTGAAGAATATGTGAATACTATGCAAAAAGATACATGGATCCATGTGTTAATTGCAGCATTCTTTATAATAGCAGGATATGGAAACTACCTAGGTGTCCATTGATGGTGTACACACACACACACACACACACACACACACACACCATACATACAATGGAATGCTATTCAGACATAAAAAAAAATCTTGCTATTTGTAACAACATGGATAAACACTGAGGACAGGTTCCTTGAAATAAATCAGAGAAAGAGAAATACCATATGATATCACTTATATGGGGTATCTACAAACAAACAAACCAAGTTCATAGAGATAGAGAATACATTGCTGGTTCCCAGAGGCAAAGGTTGGGAGTGGGCAAAATGGTGAACAGGTCAAAAGGTAAAAACTTCTGGTTGAAAAATAAATAAAGTAAGGGGATGTAATATACAGTAAAGCTTGATGACTATCAATAATATTGTATTGCATATTTGAAAATTGCTAAGAGTAGAAAAATTTTTGTAAATGTATAGAGACAGATTTTAACTAGGCTATGTGGCAACATAAACAAATATTGAATTATTATGTTGTATACCTGAAGCTAATGTTATATGCCACTTATCTCTCAGTGAAAACAAAACACACATCATACATAAATAAATGTAACCTTCCCCAATTCAACTCAGTCCCTGATTGGATCAATGTCATCAGCCTCTTCTCTGCCAAAAGTTAAAAAAAAAAAAAAAAAAAAAAAGTTCATCCTCTCTAGAGAAAGATGATATTACCTAAAATTTCAGCAAGTTTTTTTCACTATCTGGCATTTTTTTAAAAATCATTTAAAGAGACAGCAAACCTGTGAAGAACAACAACAAAAAACAAACAATAAAACGAAGAGAAGATAGAAAATGAAAGAGATCTACAGGTGAACACACTATAAGAATTATCAAACAAAGACTCAATGACAGCTATGATTAATATGATCAAGAAAAATAGAGGAAAAAGAAAATACAGGAAAAGTTGGATAATTCTACCAGATCTAAAAAAAATGAAATGGAAATTCTAGAGTTGAAAAATAAAATAATCTAAGTTAAAAGTAAATGCGTTTAATAAAATAATATGCATGTGCTAATTAATGAATTGGAAGAAAGGATAAAACATATTGATTGTATATCCCCCCCAAACACAGGAAAACAAATGGAAGATATGATAGAAAGAGATTGTGGGACACTGAAAATGTCAAACATGTGATTTGATATCCAGGAGAGGAGAGAGTAAATAGGGAGGAGGCAACATTAGAAGAGATAATGATGAATTTTTCAAAACTGATAAGGGATGTCAACCAACAGATACCGTAAGCTATCCAAACTCTGGGCAGGGGAAATACAAAAAGAAGTGTGCATAGTAACACCAAAGGAAAACAATGGAAAGGTAAAAATGAACTTTTAAAATTGGAGAATAAAGGAATACAAAATTTAAAGTAATAACAATATAATGATAGTGTTATTATATTTTTTTCCACCATGGAAAAAAAAGAAAGGTGACGGATATAAGACCAAATATATCAAATGCAAAATAACACTTAAAAGCAAACAATAACAAAACTTTATGTGTTTGCCGCTTCTAAGGACTCATCTATATATATATAAAAAGCCAGAGACTGGAACACTGATGACTGGAACAACTGGTCACTATGACACCCACTGTGGCCAGTGTACTGGCTGATCATGGGTGGGGCTGGCAGACCAATCTCCCTGGGCCCCTCCCCTCAGCCAGCCCTGCCCCTGGCTCCCCCCCTCCACCCCAATACAGGGTGGAGACAGCTGGCCAACCACCGTGGCACCTCCCCCAAGCAAGCTCTGTCCCCGATTGGTCAACCCACACCAATCGGGGATGGGGTTGACTGGCCCTGCCCCCAAATGGCTCCCTTACCCCAACTTATCCACCCTGATTGGGGCCAGGACAGCCAGACTCCACCTGTGCATAAATTCGTGCACTGGGTCTCCAGTTAAATGTAAAGATTTATGTTGAAAACAAAAAGTTGAAGAAAGCCGAAACCGGTTTGGCTCAGGGGATAGAGAATTGGCCTGTAGACTTAAAGGTCCCAGGTTCAATTCATGTCAAGGGCATGTACCTTGGTTGCGGGCACATCCCCAGTAGGGGGTGTGCAAGAGGCAGCTGATCAATGTTTCTCTTTCAACGATGTCTCTAACTTTCTATCCTTCTCTCTTCCTCTCTATAAAAAAATCAATAAAATATATTTTTTAAAAAGTTGAAGTAAAGATATACTATGCAGACAATTATTTCAAGAAATCTGATATTCCAATACTAATATAAAGCAAAGTTGACTTGAAAGTAGGAAACATTATATCATACAGAGGCATTTCTTATAAAGAAAGATATTATTAAATAAGATATATTATTATATCTCCCATGAAAATTGGAATTCATATGTCAAAGACCGGGATCCAACTCACCCGGTAAAAAGATGCCATCTGAACAGGTAAGAGCTCAATACACCATATTTCCTGGAACTGTTACATTGATGACTACATTCAGTCATCTGTAAGTCCTTTGCTGGCTAAAATTTTTCCTTTTGGTGCTTGCTCTCACAAATAGAACCTAGTTGGTCCAACTCATGAACAAAGATAAGAGATTATTACAATGATAAAGAAAGAGCCATTGCACTGTTAACTTGTCCATTGACAGAAAATGCCTTAAACACCCTTTCTATTGGTTGTGCAAACTCTAGCTTGGGACCCACCTGAACAAAGATAACAATTAAGCTGGTTAACTCTTTCGAGGAAAAGCTTTGCCATCTAACAACTATTGTGACCATTTGCACGTAGAAATAAGCAATCACATTGGTGGTTGATGCTCTCTTCTTCCTGGACACTGAAGCACTGTCATTGCCTTTAGAGAATACATAAGGTGATGTCCCACTCCAGAA